AACACATTCTCATTATGTACAGTAATGCGCAGTGGGACTGTTAGGAGGCTACAGTGAAGTATATTTCTCACTACTGTGATACATGTATCATATCAATGGATAGGTGATACAGAGGCATTTCATGAGGTTAACAGTAGAGAAAGATATAAATAGCAGCAGTTGAAAGAGTGAGGCCCAAGACATTTTCTACTTCCTATGTTGCGTGAGAAACTGAAACATAAAAAAATTAAGAACAAAACTTTGTATCCAGTTGGTGCTAGTCTGCTGCTGGAATGCTTTTTGGTTCAGTAGAGGTTTTGGACAATGAAAGAGTGGAAGGTGGTTGTTTCTTCCTACTGACCTTGCCACCACCCATGCTGTCCTGCCACATCATTGCATTCTTTTGTGTAAGACCCGATTACTGGCAGTCTTTCTGATTTATAGTCAAATGCAGTGTCAAGCTGTGCTAGCCTTGCCAGCATAGACAAGTAAAGTTTTTCAGGGCTCAGGTGCCTTTAATTAAAAGCTTTCTGTTTTTCAGTCAGCATTCTGTATTGTGAATGGAAATAATAAATAAATGAGAAGAGAAACTGACACAATTAAAGGTGCTGTTCACAGGGCTGGTATTGTCATTCTCCACCAGAGAGCAGTACACAGCACAGGATCTGCAAATCAGTTGTTCTGTTGAATATCTTAATTCCTTATGCATAATAGTGGGGAAATGTCTCTCCTGTACAAAAAGTCTGAAAAGGCAGTGGCAGAGAACAATTTCGACATAGTGGTATAAAGCTGTGATTTTTAGCAAAGTCAGTCAATGAAGTATAAAACCTGTATTCACTTTTTAGGGAATTAAAAATAGAATTGAAAAAGAAGGAACGTAGTACAGTGGTGCCCCGCATAGCGACGATAATCCATGCAGCAAAAATCGCTGCAAAGCAATTTCGTCGCTATGCGGTTTAAAAAAGCCCATAGGAATGCATTGAACCCCCTTCAATGCGTTCCTATGGGCTGTAAACTCACCTTTAAGCGAAAATCCTCCATACGGCTGCCATTTTCGCTGCCCGGTAAGCGAGGAATCCGGGCGAAAACACAGCGGGCAGCCATTTTTTTTTACCCGGCGGCCATTTTGGAACTGCCGATCAGCTGTTGGGAAATCATCACTATGCGATGATCAGTATGCGAAACAGGGTACCGATCATCGCAAAGCAATTTTTCCCTATCTAAATCATCGCAATGTGATCGCAAAAGCGATCGCAAAAAATTCATCGCGGATTCGTCATTAAAGGAGGCGCCCGTTAAGCGAGGCACCACTGTACAACTTGTTTAAACAAAACCTATATGACTTTGGAGGAAAGGGGGAAAAGAAGAAAACAGCTGAGGCTGTAGGATGGGTTTGAGAAGGTGTTTGAACATGCATGGATGGGGGCACAGGTGGAACGTTAATGAAGTACAGTAAAAGAAGAAATAGGTTACTATAAAAGATGCATGTGAAAATTTTGGATATGCACAAATAAGTGGCACCTAAGACAAGCATGAATTAGTATGGCTTCAGTAGCAAGACACTGCTTTTCAGCAGTGTACCATGATATGTAGACCTGCTTTAAACTCATGAACCTATTTTGCCATTTACAGGGATTTGGTGCAGAGAGAAAGATTCGTCAAGCTGGTGTTATCGACTAACTGGTTGCAAAGCAAATAACTATCTAGGAGCAAGTGGTGGGGTCTGGTGAAGGGCACTGAATATTCCTATGTTCATCCCTTCCAAATTCTAAGGAGTTATTACACCAGTTTTAACACCTTCCTTGTGTTATGTTTAAAAATAAATTTATGAAACAGTTTTAAAATATGCACAGTTGCATCCTGGAGAATCTAAGGTGGCGCCTTATAGTATCACGTTTTAGAAGCTTTTTGAATGGTGCATTTAACGCAACTGGTAACTGCAAATCTATTTTGCCTCTTTAAGTGAACATTATAGACAGTTCAACTCTGATAGACCTTGTGAAATTCTGCACTGAAAAGATAAATATATATAATATACATATATTTTCCTTTTTCATTTCTGCCAAGGTGTTACTATGCCTTAGCTCTCAGTTGCTTTTGCTTCTCCAAGATAGGGGAGGTTAACTTCCTCTTCATTCTCATCTAGTTTTGAGGACCATATGAGGATGAATATGCTCTCTATGTAGAATCCTGTGTGAGCACTCAAACAGGTTACTTAAGTTGATGGCCAAATATTAAAATGTTTTTTATGTCTCCTTTTAAACTCAAGTCCATATAGCAAGTGAAGTTTATTTCCTAGATCTCACTGACAGTATCTTCCAGAGTAGACTTATAGTTCTTTGTAATTATCTACAATTAGCATGCACAGTGCAGAATTTCATAAGGATAAGGTGTGCCATCAGTGTGATAACTTAAAGATATTTAAAACAATGCACAAATTTGCTGCTGCTTAGAACACTGCAGCTTCTAAACCCAGTTTATTGTACTGAATACAAAGTTTAAAAAGTTGTGCCTGAAGTGAATACTTTTTTCTTTTTATTTCTTTCTTTTTTTATTTTTTTTTTTCAGCAAGCACCCAGTGTACTGTAAAAGAATACTTAGGCTTTCCATAGCTGTATTGAGACTTCATCAAGGTGAAATAGTTGATGTCTGTGTGCTTTATTTTTTCTTCCTCCAGGCCCTTCTCCCTTCCCCTTCCTCAGCCACACTTTATCAAGAGAGCAAACTGAATGATTGGTCTAAGTATTACTTTAACCAAAAAGATCAGGAGTTATTTTCTTTGAATAGAGGGCAGTACTGTGTTTTTTTCCCCCCATGTTACCTCTATTCTCAATTTAGGGTTTTTCTTCTCTGGGAGATGCATTATCTTTGTAAAACAAACATTGCTTTCTCCAATTTTTCTGTTAATGGCGAAGAATGGAAATAGAATAAAGTTTTACTGATTTTGAAAAACTGCCTCAGTCTTGTAACTCCTTTATTAAACTAATCCAAGTTTCAAAATCTTCATCTGATGTACAGCAGGCATATGTAACAACTATATTCTCAAGGCCATTCCAGATAGTAGTCCACTTGATGCCAGAAGGAACCAACCCTGTTATGGATAAAGCAAAGCAAAGCGTGCTGCTTATATACCGCCCCATAGTGCTTCAAGCACTCTCTGGGCGGTTTACAAGTTAATTATGCAGGCTACACATTGCCCCCCCCCCCCCGCAAGCAAGCTGGGTACTCATTTTACCAACCTTGGAAGGCTGAGTCAACCTTGAGCCGGCTACCTGGGATTTGAACCCCAGGTCGTGAGCACAGTTTTGGCTGCAGTACAGCGGTTTGACCACTGCGCCATGAGGCTAGGATGATGCAAACCATTTGCTTCAAGTATTGACTGTGACATAACAGTTCAGAAGATGGACAGGACATGGTGAGGAACGAACATGTTGGTGAGATTCTTGCCCAAAGACCCGAAGCAGTCTTTTGCCTTTCCAGAATGATACAGTAGTGTGCAGTATAACAAAATTATTTAAAAGATACGTAAGGTCTCATTGCTGCTTTCCTCACACATAGAACAGGCAACATTTTTTCCACTCCTGACTGAAAATTCAGGAGGGGCAGTGGGTCTATCTGAAGTTGCTTTGGGGGCCTAATTACGCACTTGATCTTTTTATTCAGAGGTTCCCAAACATGGAGTCAGATGCTTTTGGACTATAATTCCTAGAAGTAAAATAAAACAGTCATTTGATACCATGTATAAGCCATTCGTTTTTCCAACATTGTACTTTGATACAATGACAATTGTTTCTACAAATGTTTATTTGGCCCATATGTACACTGGGCCACTGTCTACAAACAGTGTAACTTCCACTTTTTAAAAGGCCACAACATTTTGTGGAACCTTGAGACCAACCACAAGCTATTTTATTCTGAGTCGGACTGTTGGCTTAAATGGCCATGTCTAGTGAACAATGACTGGCAGAGTTCTCAAGGGTTTCAGAGGTAAATTCCAATCAGTTCTGACAGTAAGGTTTAGCTATGCTGGACTAGATGGACCAATTAATGGTATGGAGTCACTGAGGCCTTTTGCGTGCATCACGTACAGCTTAACACTGAGCTGGCATCTCCCCAAAGAATGTGAGGTTTGTGGATACATTCAGGCATCCTGTTGATAGAACTTGTCAGCTGATTCATCCTTCAAAAGCACCTTTGCTCCTGACACAAATGGGGAAAAATCACTGAGCTAGTATTTGTCGTGGATTGCAATCCACAAAAGTAAATAAAATACATTTAGCCACAAATCTCGTTTTTGCTGTGTTGTAGTAACACAGCTACTCTTCCCAAGAACTTTATAAAAAGCAGTCAACACTCATCCTTCCCCCCTATGTGTAGTCTCAGGTTCAGTCCCCACGCAGCTCTTTTAAGCAAGGATGCACCAGTCTCTTGCCCCAGACCTTGGAAAATTAATCCCATCACACTACTGGCTAATCTGAACCAGTGGGATATATCAAGTTGATTCTCAATTTACATTAACCCTTTCCAGTATTATCCAGGGAGACAGATCTTAGAAACAGGTTGTTGTTTCTCCCCAACACCACCCCGGCCCTTCTGGAAAGTGGCTGGCTGTTTTCCGTGGAGCTACGACGGGGAACTGAACTCTCAACCCCTTCGCCAGCAGCCAAATGCTTTACTGAGCTGTCCAGCCATCGCCCAGCCCAGATTAGCTCAAGAGAGGCTAGCAGACTTCAACCGGGCAGCATGAGCTCATCGTTGTACGTTCCTACAGTTAAACGTGGAGGGTGTCACGACTTGGCCCCGCTTCGGCCCCACCAGCTACCATGCGGACCTAGCCCCGTATCGCTCCTCAAAGGCACTCGGCCGCCTTTCCCTCTGCCCGCGGCTCTCCGCAGCCCCCCCCCCGCGCGCAGCTTCCGACGCTGAGTGATGACGTTTGCGATACGGTGGGTCGGAGGAGTCGATCTTTGGAAGAGCGTTTCGTGGAGCTTGGAAGTGAGGTGAGAGGCGAGGCGTTCCAGCTAGGCTGGCTTGGCCGGCCACTGGGAGAGACAAGGGTGGGGAACGGGAGGTTCACGGAAGCACCCTCAGCTGGCTCTGGCTTTAGTATTATTGCTGCTCTTCTTCTTTAACGGGCGTGCGCGGGATCCCCCCCCTCCGGGCCCCCTCTTTCGCTCCCGCCCAGCAGAGGGAGGGAGGCGCTGCTTTGGAAAGTGGCCGCTCTGCCGGCTGGGTGTGTCCGGGGCCGGGCAGCGACATCGCGGTCCCTTCGGCTCGGTTCCCTCGCCCCTCGCTTCATATTTGCCGCAGCTTCGTGCGTATCTTTTCTTCTCCTTTCCGTCGAGCCGTTTCTTCGCTTCGCCCGCGCCGTGTTCTGTTTTTATTTTTGCGGGAGATAAGCAAACGCTTGGCTGTCTTGGTGCTTCAGCCCGGCTGGTCTCATTTCCTTCTCCCACGTTCGCCCTCCTAGTTCCTCTCCCACAGAAAGGGCCAAATATTTTGACATCAAATGAGGGCGGTTTGTCGGACCTGGTGCTCTCTGACCATTATTCGGTTGTGATGGTTGGTGGGGGCGAATCTACGGAGAGCCCCTACTTTAATTAAGGGATGTGAGGCTGTTCCCCTAATGCTTCCGCCGTCAGGAATACGCTTTTCCTTCGAAGAACTGGGCAAACAAATGAAAGCAAGGGAAAAAGCAGGAATACGAGTTGACCGCCTGTATGTGGTAGTGGTGGTCCTGCTGGCCTGGGACTGAGGAGATTCCGTTTCTGTTCCCTCCGAAACTCGTGGGTTGACCTCCAACCGGTACATTCTCTTTTCTATTTCACAATTTACGTCCCGCAGTTGTGAGGATTAAGTGAAGAAAAGGAAGGTCATGTACATCACTGTGAGTTCACTGGAAGAAAAGCAGGACATGAATGAGTAATGACGTTCTTGCACATATTCTGCTTTATCTTTCTTCAGTGAAGTTCAGAGTCGTTCATGGATTTGTCTCATTTTATTCTCAGAACAAGTCTGTGACACAGTTGGGGGCAGAAGCTGTTCAAGGCCATCTAGTAACTTTCACAGCAAAGTATAGATCTGAGCCAGAGACTCTGCCTTGAGTGCCGTTGAAGCGGAAATGTGGGGTGTAAGTCAAATAAGTATTATACAAAAATAACCCCTAGCTAACAATGTAACCCAGTACAGTACTTGTCTTTTTAAGAGTAAGCCAATTTCATTCCAGTGAAACTCATTCCCAGGTATCTACACTGATTGCACTCTTATAAGTACTGTAGGATCTAAGCCAATGCTGTACACCAGTGATTTCCAGGCTGGGGTATGTGTATCCCCATGGAAGCAAACCAGGAAATTTAGGGGTGTGGGGGAAAATTGAATAATGGTTGGAAAAGGCACATGTTTCAAAGGTGTAAGACAAGATACTAGTCAAAAGTTGTGAAAATAATTGAATGTTACAGTGAGTGGCACAAAGGTTGTTTAACCTTGAGAAAAGCCTTGTTCCCTTACTTTGTCATTTTGGTGAATGGTGGGGAGTCTTCCCTAAACAATGTATTACAAACTCACCACTGTAGCACATATACTCAGCAGCAGCCCCTGACAGGCAAACCTTTCACTTTCCCCTGCTTTGTGAACATTCAAGTGCTGTTGCGCCAGTATCTGTCTGTCTGTCTGTCTGTCTATATCTCTCTATCTCTCTATATCTATCTATGTATCTATATATCTATCTATATAGATATAGATATACTGTAGATATCTATATATTTAAATATATAGATATATATAAAAGCGGGCACCTCAGTCAGTCCTATGAGTCCAGCAACCGTATTAATCGCAAACATTTTGCTAATATGAAGGGTACAATTTATGGAAATGGACTGCCAGGGGGTGCACAAGTAAAAAAAGGTTGGAAACCAGTGCTGTACAATGATGAGGATATAGTAGAGAAAATTGTCCAGAATAAATAGCCACAAAACACTTGACTGTGCTGTGGCTTGTTTGACTTACTTCATACCTTTCTTTCTAGCCTACAGTACAACTTTCAGGTTGGCTCAAAGGGTCATGCTGGGTTCTCTCCAGTTCTTGAATAAGTGCCTTTATAGTTTCTGTGGATGCTTTTTGAATTTTTTTATGCCTATATTGAAATACCAATTTTAAAGCTATTGATCTTTCTAATGCTTCATTTTGCTAACAGGTTCCTGAAGAGGGCAATGACTGAGTACAAGTTGGTAGTGGTGGGAGCTGGTGGTGTTGGAAAAAGTGCCCTGACGATCCAACTCATTCAGAATCACTTTGTTGATGAATATGATCCTACTATAGAGGTAAGGCCTCTATAGGTTTTGATTAGAGATGGGGGTATTATGAATACCCCCGCAGAAGTGGAGATAATGAGGGTCTAGCCCACTGTCCACTCACCCTTCCGCTGCTGCCATGGCCCAGTGTCCACTCACCCTTCCGCTGCTGCCGTGGGTTCCGCATTCCCTTCCAGTTGCTCCAGAATGCCCAGTTGGCAAGCCACTCTTTGAGGCCCAGTGTCCACTCACCCTTCCGCTGCTGCCGTGGGTTCCGCATTCCCTTCCAGTTGCTCCAGAATGCCCAGTTGGCAAGCCACTCTTTGACCTGGCAGGGTTCCGCATTCCCTTCCAGTTGCTCTGGAATGCCCAGTTGGCAAGCCACTCTTTGACCTGGCAGGGAGGCTCGTCATCCCACCTCCTGGCAGGGGTGGCTAGGTGACTGCGAGCTCCGGAGCAATAGGAAGGGAGTGGCACCCATGGCAACAACGGAAGGATGAGTGGACAGTCTGGCCCCTGGGGGCCAGACCCTTATTATCTCCACCTGTGTGGGGGTATTCATATTCGTATACAAACACTCCATGTCTAGTTTAGATATTTACATCCTCACTACCATATTGAATGTGGTTTATGTGTGAGCCTGTAATACAGCTATTCATGAGGTAAATGATTTACAAACTGTTGTAAATATTAAATAATAGAAGTTCAGAAGCTTCTTATTAGGCATTGTTCTCTCTTTTTTTCAATTTTTGGAAAAGTGTTTTTTGAAAAGCAAAATTTATGCATTTTTATCTCATCAGGAATATCAGAATGGTCATTCATAATTTACTGGATTTAATTCACATTTTCTCTCTCTCTCTCTCTCTCTCACACACACACACACACACAACACACACACAGAGAGAGAGAGAGAGAGAGAGAGAGAGAGAGAGCTTCAGATAGCCTGAAACCAAACCATGTAGAACTTTAGAAATTATATGGGTACTTTAAATTTTGCCAACAAATCTACCAGTACCCAGTGAAGGTGCTGTAGTAGAGAGTTTCTATTTTCCCTTTAATGTACTCCTTTCAGTGGCATGGCTACATTTTGGACCCTCTGGAAATCTGAACATTTTTCAGAGGTAGCCGATATGTTTCAGTAATCCAAACATAAAGCATCTAAGACATGTATCACTATGACCAGATCAGAGTTCTCTAGGAATGGGTGCAGCTGACATACTATGCAAATATTCTCCTCACTGTTGCTGACATCTGGGTTCAGAGCTGAATCCAGAAGTATACCCAAGATTTGGTTCTGTGTTTTTATGGGAATTGTAACCCATCCAGTAAAAACTGACTCTCTGTTCCCTGCTCTTCAACTGACCAGGAGCACTTGTGTTTTCTCTGAATTAATTTGGCCTTCCTCATCCAGTTCATTATTGATGACGGCCATTGCTTTGGAACCAAGACACCTTCCTCAAATTTAGATGGAAAAGAGAAATAGAGTTAGAAGTCATTCACATATTGGTGACACTGAATCCACAATCTCTCAATTACTTTTCCCAGCAGACTCATGTTTTTGTTAAATAGTGTCACAGATTTTAAAAAAACCCTGAGGAAGCCCACAGGCCAATGGCCAGGGCTTTGGATATGTTTCCCAAGACCACCTCTGAGCTTGCCCCTCTAGGAAGAACTAGAGCCACTGTAAAACAGTGCCTCCAGCTCCCCTCCCAGAGAGATGGATCAGGAAAATACCATTGTTGGTGATATTGAAAACTGGCAAAAGAAATCCAAAATAACTAACAGTAACACACTCCCTTTGTCTAATTCCTTTGAAAGGTCATACATCAAGATGATAAAAACTATCTCTGCCCCATAACTTTTTAAAAGGAAAGAGACAAATAGTGGCAAACAGACATGGATTTATATAAATAAATAATAATACGTCCAACAGACTCAAAGATTAAAACTTTTCCTTTCACTGCAGGTATTGAATATACTTAGAGTAAAGCTATATACAGTGGTGCCTCGCATAGCGACGTTAATTTGTTCCGCAAAAATCGGTGCAGAACGAAAACGTCGCTATGCGATATTAAAAAGCCCATATAAATGCATTAAAACGTGATTAATGCATTCCTATGGGCTTAAAACTCACCGTTCTGCGAAGATCCTCCATAGCGCGGCCATTTCTGGTCCCTCGTAAGCGAGGAATCCGTCCCAAAAAACAGCGGGCGGCCATTTTGTTTACCCGGCGGCCATTTTGAAACCACCAATCAGCTGTTAAACAGGGAACCGATCATCGCAAAGCGAAATTCCCCCATAGGGAACATCGCAAAGCGATCGCCTTTGCGATCGCAAAAAATGTGTCACAAAGAGATTTCGTCATAAAATGAAGTGATCGCTGTGCGAGGCACCACTGTATCTGAATATATACAGGGAAATCTCTTTGAAGTTGGGGCACCCAATATGGGAAGATAAAAATCTTCCCTTAGCCTTCCCCTTATGTCAGTGAGCAGGAATCATAAACATTTCTTACCACCTTCCTGCATGGGTAAAGCCCAGGAAATGCTTAGTCCTTGAGTCTCTTACTGGAAGTTGTCCTTGCTGTTTAATCATTCAGATTTGTCAAGCTCTAAGCTTTGATATTTGGGTATCAAGGTATCTACAGTTTTATATGAGATTATTCATCAGTATAACTTGCATTAAAGTACTTGAGGGTTTGGAATTATTTAGTGAAGGTTTGAGAGGGAAAAGCATGACGTGGAGGACACTGTAGAATTAAAGCAGATATTGGTAATATACAGGATCCATGCACCCATATTGTTTCTTATTGTGTGGACAGCAAAATTCTGTTGTTGCCACCATCAAAATTATAACTTTATCTCTGAAATGCCGTAGCATGGCTCTAGCAACCATAAAAGCCATATTTTTTAAAAAAAGAATAAGGTTTGCAAGGAGAGGGTACCAAAATCTTGCAATGTGGCAGTGGTTTTCGAGTAGAAAATTGCATTTTTGGTGCATGAGAGCAGCAAGGTTTAGCCCCCCAGGGGGTGATTCTATGCACCAATCCCTCTTGTGAAGCTGCCCACCTTCAATTCAAAGAATGTGATCTCTATGGAGGTGTAATAGAGATTCCTCCATTGTTCTTGTCTGAGCTTATCGGGCCATGTTTTACACACACAAAAACCTGGGAAAATTGTGGATGAAAGTTGTGGTCCTGTATGATTCTATATCTGTTACAAGATACACAGTGTACTGCAATAGTAGTATTTGTAGCACAATAGTAGCACAACACATTTGGACACATTATCAGCCCCATGGTTTCTGCAGTGGGAGCCTTCCTGGAATGATAATCACTGAATTTTAGCTGATATTTGTCATTGTTTGGCATTTGTAAGTGAATGAACCTATGACAATAAACAGGCCATAGGAAAGTATAGGGCATAGGAATACACAGATTATGTCAAGTCAATTTCCATTGTGGTCTTTCTTTTTCTACCCCAAGTCTATTCTGTGACAGTTGCATATGAGAGTTTTTTAATGTAAAGAAAACATATTCTTGTGCAAATCTGTCAATTGGATGCTGTCCACATCTGCAAAAGTGTGTCTGTATCTATTTTATATACAGTGGTTTTTGCACATGTGCAAATATATTTTTATGGAATGCATCACAAGCCCTGAAATGTATGTAGTTCCATCTTCAGAATTCTGCAATTTTGTTCATTTAGAGAAAGTTGCCCACCACAACTTCTAGTATGGCATCCCTAAGAATTTGTCCATTGTTTTAAAAATCCACTGCAAATATACTAAACATTAGGGAAGATTCTGATTTTGGAACTGCATCTACTCAGATGAACCTATTGAAAAGTGCTGTCAGGTGGGTGTAGACAACTGTTTTGGATTTTGCATTTGCTTTTCACAGGACTCTTACCGTAAGCAGGTAGTTATTGATGGAGAGACTTGTTTGCTAGACATCCTGGACACAGCAGGACAGGAGGAATATAGTGCTATGAGAGATCAGTACATGAGAACTGGTGAAGGCTTTCTTTGTGTGTTTGCCATTAACAACAGCAAATCATTTGCAGACATCAATCTGTACAGGTAAGCTTTGCTTAGAAGAGAGAACAAAAGGCACAGTTGGATACTAAAGCTGAACACCATCCACCAAAGTCTCAGAGTATGTTAAAAGCAATTACTAGTAACTGCTAGGATAATTGATTGACATATGTTTTGTTCTAAGTTAACAAATGTCCCTACATCATGAAAATCTAGAGAGCAGAAAATTTATGCAGCAGACTTGCTGCATAGAAAACAATTATCGTTTATAAGGTGCTCTGGCAAAGAATATGAAGTAACAGAAATGAATAAACATAGGCATGGAAGGTTTCTTTTCTTGCCCAGTTTATATAGCATCATTAATTTCAATTTGAAGTCTGTTTCAGTGAGTTACCCATTTCCCTGTTTTATAAAAAGATTGGCATATACATAGGTCAGAATCTAGCTGAAAACATAACACCAGCATAAATTCATTGGCATAAATCTCGGAGGCAAATTGCCACTAGTTAAGAAGTCTGTGTTGGCAATTGTTGTCATGTGTAGTCACAATGAATAGAAATCTGTCCATCAAAAAAAAAGAGAGGATGTTATTGGAGCAACTTTGACTCCTCCCGCATGGGGACTTGCTTAGGGCAGCATCTCTACCCTTTCACATAAGACTGCAAGTGTTTTTCCTATACGAAGGCAGGGAAACCAGGTGAGCTATTATTGCAGAGCAATGACAGTTTGAATGTTGTCACACTGAAGCATAGTCTGTGTTCTTTCTCTTCCCCCTTTCTACTGCCGTCTGGTCCTCTTTTCCAGAGAGCAGATTAAAAGAGTGAAAGATTCTGAAGATGTACCAATGGTATTAGTGGGAAACAAATGTGATTTGCCAACACGAACTGTAGATACCAAACAGGCCTATGAAGTAGCCAAGAGCTATGGGATCCCATTCATTGAAACATCTGCCAAAACCAGACAGGTACTGTAATGAGTTCTGTATCATTTTCACCTCTGTTCAGCTCTCAGGTGAATTTCCTGGATGCTGCCAAGTTTATAATTTGGAAGAATTGGAAACCTTTGATTTTACTTTATTTTCTGCCTTACTCTATTTGCATGTTTGTGTTTAGCTAGATTTTAAAGTGGTGAGGTCTTTACTAGAGAGATCATAAGATTTCACAGTTAGCTAGAATGCCTGTACTTACGTTTGATCTCCAGAATGTCTTATTTTTTATGTACTCCCAAGTTGATTTAGTTACATATACATCAAGAGTGTAGGCACCCAGCAGAAAGAGGCATTTCATGTATGCCTGAGTTGCATATGGTTAATTCTTATATAATTAAGGATTCAGACTTGGTGAGGAACGTGATAATTTTACAGTTGTCCTTACTAAACACTGTAAGTTTCACCTTACATTTTCAAGAGGGATGTGTGTAGAAAGGGCAGATAGGGTCTGGGAGAACAGCTGATATGCTGAAGAAGACTTTGATCTGAGTATGTATTCGCAAAGGCTTTCACGGCCGGGATCTAATGGTTGTTGTGGGTTTTTCGGGCTCTTAGGCCGTGTTCTGAAGGTTGTTCTTCCTAACGTTTCGCCAGTCTCTGTGGCCGGCATACTCAACTCCCAAGCAAACTACACCAGAGCACAGAGTGCTGTCTTCTGAAGATGCCGGCCACAGAGACTGGCGAAACGTTAGGAAGAACAAACTTCAGAACATGGCCTAAGAGCCCGAAAAACCCACAACAACCATTGATCTGAGTACTCTACCTTTTTAGGGTGTTGAAGATGCGTTTTATACACTGGTGAGGGAGATCCGTCAATATCGAATGAAAAGGCTCAACATCAATGAAGACAGAAACCAAGGCTGCATGGGACTCTCATGCCTTGTGATGTGACCAGGTAGGATATCACCTGTTGTGTTAATCTGTGTTTGCCAAGATGTTTTTGAAGGAAATTTCTTACTTAATAGTATATGTTTTGTAAAGTAGATATGTGATGTTATGAGTCAAAAAAATTGGCAATTATGTGCCTCGTGCGAGTGGTTGCAGGTTTCTGTTTTCAAAGTTAATAAAGGTATTGGGAAGACTTCTACAAAGCTCAAACCTTTAAGAAGAGTTTGGCAGAGACTTTGAGGCACTCTTTCCATGGGATATATAGGATGCTGCTTTATAGTGCTATAGACATTGGAGAACATGTAACTGAAGTCATACCTCTGCAGCATCTCTCTCTCTTTAAAATACTTGTGCCAATCTGTGCCTTTGAGATTACTTCACATGGTAGGGGTGATAGAATGCCTGCAACCTGTTGAACTTCTGGAATTCTGTCTAACCTAATTTTGTTATCTTGGTCATGGGTGCTTTAGATCATTTCTCTATAAATTAATATTGCCTGTTCAGCTTACCTTGGATTATATTGGGATATCCTGGACCATAATTGTGCTAAAATTGTGCAATGGCTGAAATCCTGTTACACAGTTAAGCAAACAGTGAAACTTTTAGATTTTAACTGTTCGTAAATTAAGAACTCTCTGTAGGTATTATCTGTTGCACACCACACTGTGTAGTTTGGTGCGCAGTAGATAATGTCTACAGAGACTTTTTCACTTATGGCAATTTGTGTCTAAACTAATCTGTATAACTGTGCAACAGGATTTCAGCTAGGATGTAGAAGAGCAAAACTGTATTTATTTATTTATTTATTTATTTATTTATTTATTTATTTATTTATTTATTTATTTATTTCAGATGCTTGAAAAACCTGGCCAAACTACAGGCAGAAGTTGAATCTTTTTTCTAGTTTGTTGCATTTCATGGTGGTGCCTGGCCAGTATGCGGCTGCCTGTTGACAAGTGCTAAATGTTCCATCAGCACCAGAAGGGAATTATCTCCAGACATCTACCTCTTTGTTCTGCTAAACAAGCAAAGAAAGTCTCATCTTATATATGATGACATTTTTCCTCCTCTCTTTCTCGAGTAGGTTCAAGCAGAGGACACTGATTATGTGTGAAATTGTAGAGGCCAAATACTATGAGAGGATACCTTTTTCTGGCAGAAAATCTGAAGCAAGTGGTGATCAGACTGTACTGCAAAGTCATTCCTTAGCACTGTATGGCAATGCTGTGCTTGACTTCCTGTACAAAGTTTTCAGACAGGGAAGTACTTGCCATGTGCCTTTATACTGTGTACCTAAAATGGTCCTATAGCACATCAACTTACTGCACTTACCTTGGCCTGTTGAGCCCTTGGCTTCTTTATAAGAAAGTATACAATTGTTGGCAACCAAGTGCCTAGGAGCAAAGTAAGCCAGAACTTAGTCTTGTCCTAGCAAGTTGCAGTTCTGCTTCTTCGCTGGACCATCTCGAACATCTGAAGCTGCCCCAAACGGTTGGTCTGTCTAACCCAGTGCTGTCATCTCTTGACTGGAAGTGGTTCTCCTGTTTCCTAGCTATTCTGTGTGAACCTTACAAACTGGACTTGCTAGGGGTTTAATGTGGAATCTTCTGAATGTAGAGCATGAATTCCCCATTTCTAACCCCTCTCACTAGCCCCCCCCCCATTATTAATGCACAAGGACTTCTCTTCACAACTGACTGAAAAGCACTTTGATCTACAAGGCTCTATGTGGGAGACTAGCAGCCAACTGTTATTCTCCAGTGTTAAATACATTCCATTTAGCTTTTCGGCTGGGCTCGAAACCATTGGTGCCTCCCTATCAAGGCCAGTTGACAGCTGTGGATGCTACGAGTACCATCTTCTCCAGTGCTTAGTATAAATCCTGCCTCTGCGAGGGCCACGTAGGGAACAGTGAGCTGTCCCAGCTATCCACGCACTTCTGGTTTTTAATAAAATGTCTTTATATGTTTTTATCAGGCACAGCCTTTTTATTCTTAGTCTGTGAAAAAAGTGCACTTCATTACCATTATTGACTCTGAGTGCTCTCTCCAGGTCGCTGGTGTGTAACTAAGCGAGAGGTAAAGGCAGAACAAAATTGTGAGGATAGGGAATGAATTCAATAGTTGATATCAGTTCAGGGAAAATGTTTATTTCCATTATACATTCAACTTTACAAACTTTGGAACTGGATTCTTCATTATACTGTGTTCTCCTAAGCTTTTATTCTCTGTTCAAATGACTATGAGCTGTGGGTTTTCCTGTATTGCTGGGATGTAACTGAATAAATAACCACTATTTATCGGAAATATGTAAGATTTATGTATGTGTACCACTGTCTTATTACTGATGTAGAAATGAATGTGCAAACTGCCTCCATTCAAAATGGCAACGCTTAAAATGAAATGAGGCGACATAAAAGCTCTCTGTGATGAGCGTTTCACAAATTCTATCATTTGTTGTTGCAGTTACTAGCATTCATGATTCTTACTAAGCTGATCCCAGCTTGCAGCAGAAGCAGAGTTCAAGATCATATGTGCTTTACTGGTGATTTTGTTATAATACCATGTCATGTTCTAAGGCAGAAGAAAAACAGCTATGTAATCACCAACTGAAATTGATGATGGACCAATGGTGCCTAAACGATCTTTGCTCTTGCTTCATACGATTGTTATTTGAGACAAATCTTTGTCTGTTAGTTTCAAATGGTTTTACTTAGAGCAGTGCATTCTTAAGGAAGGGTTGTTATATGCCTTACCTCTTGTTAAACTGTTAGAACCTGAATCCAGGCCTGGTTTCACAAAGCTCTCTATAGCAAGAATATGACCTGACTTGAGCAATAAAGTGGGTATGTATGTATGTCTATGTACTGTTTTAAGTGTCTTCCTTCATTTTGGTCAATTCTAAGCATCTTCCCACAATCTCAGTAATCTGTATTAGCTTGACATCTTTGCACATTAATAATTGAATGACAGATAAGACTATAACAGATGTATTGGTGGTTGGAGCAGCATTTCTGTCTGTCATGTAGCTGTTCAACATACGGTAGTACTATCAGTGAAAAATGAGACTATCCTGGTGCTTCTGCATTGAATTTCTGTACCTAAAGTTCCCTGCGTTCTTAAGAAAACTACAACTCTGAGTTGGCACTTTCAGTGTAAAGGTGTCTGCAAAAGCTTGAGTATTAAATGTCATGTTTGGCTGTCTTTTCTGCATGTTGGCAAATGAAAATATAGCTGAGAAACACATGTTAAGGTATTAGCCAGTTTCACACCTGTTATACAGTCTGAATGCAGTATGGATGATACTCTTGCCATATCCTAATGCCGGGTGTAAGATGAATGTGAGTGCAGCCAAAAGACTTGCTGTTTTTGTGGTGGGCAAACTACACATGGTCTCAAACTACACATGGTATATTAAATGTAGTCTCAAATGCACTTCCAAATGAATCCTACAGATCTATGAAACACAGGAAGGAAATTAATGTGGGTGACATTCATTCACCTGCGGCTGGAGCTTGTTTTTAGTTTTGGAATAACTTTGCCTGGGGAGTTATGTTCTTAGGGACAACAAGATGTTTCTTAATGTGTTCTACAAATAGCCTATTAAGAATTCACCTATCCTACTCAGTTGCAGATTGTATTGTCACATGTTAAAGGTCCTGGGCTACTCATAGCTAGAAAACAACTGGAATAATATATCTAGATCTTCCATTTTTATACTGGAGTTGTCAAAACTAGGCTAGATATACCTGAAAATATTGTTATGTTGGAACACAGAGAAACAGGACACAGCAAATCTCTTACGTAGGGCTGTTGTCTGTTGCTCTAACAAATGAATTAAAACTAATTTGGTTGAATCTTAATCTTCATATATTTGCATGTGCACTAAGCAAAAGCACATTCTTTTTTTAAGGATAGCATGTATGCACCTATCCATGGGTATGTACTGTATGTATACTATATTTTAGAAATATGTGTGAAGAGATAGTAATGCCCTACCAATGCAGCTTCTGTAACCACTTTTTACAGTCTTTCAGAGGAACCTTGTATACCTTGGTTGCCTCTGTCTGCATTTACTTAGATGATTTAAAAAATCATTTTGATAGACCTGTAACATGTAATCCATTCAAGCACATTAACCATTTAAAAATGTCCAGTTGATTAAAAGTATAACCCTTGGTACTCAACTTGATACAGTGGGGTCTTGACTTGAGAACTTAATCCGTATTGGAAGGCGGTTCTCAAGTCAAAAAGTTCTCAGGTCAAATCTGCATTTCCCATAGGAATGCATTGAAAACCATTTGATCCGTATCTGCTCTTTTCCGTCCATAGAAACTAATGGGAAGCTGCTATTCCGCCTTCGACCACTAGAGGGGGATATTTTGGTTTTTTTTCTTAGGTCAAGAAAGGTTCAGGGAAGGCAGGGAAAATACAGTCAAGGCAGTACCAGGCAGTACCAGGCAGTCTGAAGACTCCCAATCCACTCTCTAAATGCTGGGAGGAGTGAGGAAGCAGACAGGCACCCTTTTCACTGGCCAACAGTTAACGGAAAGTTAAGTCAATATTTTCCTATGAGAGTGGTTCTTAAGTCAAAATGTTCTTAACTCGAGACGTTCTTAAGTCAAGACCCCACTGTATAGCGATTTGAACCAGCTCTAGATGTTTTCAGAAATACCTAAGGATTCCTGAATTGTGATATGCAAATGAGTTTGTTTGATGTAGGCAATCAGAGTCCAGTACAAACAATATCTGCTTACGTTTACTGCTTCCTAAATATGCTCGCTGACAGCTTTCAGTGTCACTCAGGGGAAACTCAGTTGCCCAGTTATTTGATATTGTAAAGTGTGAATTAAACTCTAAAAGAGGTGTTGCAGAGCAAATCTTTTACCATGTCAACTGCAGAAATGCAGTACTTGTGGATGTATACTAATCTGGGCTTTGACATGATTGTGTAGTTCAACATTTCCAAAATGTCTGATTTGGATCAAAATTCTTGTTTTTCTGAATAAAAATGGGATAATTACCATTCATTCCTATAGAGCTAAGTTTTAATGTGGCTAAAAGTGAAATATATATATCTTGTCTTTCCTTAAAGGTGTTAAAAAATGATAGGTGATTCTTCCCACACTACCTTTTGATTTTATTCTTGTTAACAGTAGCATAAAAAGTTAAGCTGAGAGACATTATTTTCTAACCTAAGGTGATGATTACCCAGTGAATTTTCTGGCCTGGTGGAGATTTGAAATTTGTCCAAGTTTTGAAGCCTGAACTGTTCTAGTTACTAGTCCATCGCTCCTAACAGTAGAGACCACAATCTGTGTTCTTGTATGAATCGTGGATCTAGACATGCCTGTTTTTTGCAGAGATAATTCTTCTATTGGTAGTGGAGGTGTTTGAAGAAGACCAATCAATCCGTTGGTAGAATTACATTTCCAAACAAACTGATCAGGAGACCAGAAGATAGCAGTAAATCTTGCAGAAATAAGGTAGAAGATCTGTATTTATGGTCAAATTATACAGAGACAGCTTTGCTTTTAACAGTGAATACCACATTTTTTCAGGTACTTCATTCTTTTCAAAGCTTATAGTCTGAATGATCAGGTTTACAAATCAAGCCTGTTTTTATCCTCCAGTGATTAATCACAAAGCAAAAGCAAGTTAATTTGCAATATGGGAAAGCTCATGCTAGGATCAGCAGACTTCTCAAGAAAGAAGGTTCTATACTGCCATTTGGCCCTTAGACACAGAATTGGAGAAGACGTGAGTAATCTAGTCCAGCTGTTTGCTCAGTGCAGGAAACCAGGAACATCCCAATTGGCTGTCCACTCTTCACTGAAAGACCTCAAGCAGGAGAGAACCCTCCATTCCTCTTAGTAATTAGTTGCATTGCTTTTACTGTCACTCAAATTTTCCTGATGATCAGCCAAACATCTACTCTGCCCCACCACCTGAGATTTAGCCCTGCCCTCCTAGGATCCAAAGAAGAATGTTGTTATAATTCCATATATGCTCTTCAAGAATGATATACAGTGGGGTCGCTACTTAAGAACGTCCCTACTTAAGAACAATCCAACTTAAGAACAGCTCCATTTGCTAAATTTTGCTTCTACTTGAGAATGGAAATCCAAGATAAGAACAGGAAAAAAACCCTTTCCTGCTCTTTTTTTAACCTTAGGTCATCTTAGGTTAAAAAAATTCTCCCCCTAGTGGTAGAGTGCGTATTAACCAGCTTTGCATTAGTTCCTATGGGAACTAATGCTTCAATGTACGAACGCACCTCTACATATCAAAAAAAAACAGCCAGAACGCACTAATTGGTTTTCAGTCCATTCCTATGGGAAATTTTGCTTCAACTTAAGAACGTTTCGACTTAAGAACACCATTTCAAAATGGATTAAGTTCTTAAGTAGAGGTTCCACTGGGTAGTTTCTATGGACGGAAAAGAGCAGATACGGATGAAATGGTTTTCAATGCATTCCTATGGGAAATGCAGATTCAACATAAGAACTTTTCAACTTGAGAACCACCTTCCAATACGGATTAAGTTCTTAAGTAGAGACCCCACTGTAATGCTACCCCTCAGCAGGGCTGCCCTAGTGATAGTTAGGGTGAGGTTCAGGTAAGCTATCTTGGCTGTCACAAAAAGGCACGAAATTTTTAAAAATCCTATATTTGTATCACAAGGATGAGAGATCCCCTCTCCTGACCAGAATGATTTGGTTAGCCTTTCTCAGTATGAACATTGAATTGGCACTGGTATTACTGTTCTACCTCAGGCAGCAAAATGTATTGGGCTGATCCTACTTGTCTCTCTTTCCAGGCTCAATATACTCATTACTTCAACCTCTCATAATATGACTAATTTTTGACACTGCAAATCCGTATATCCTACTGCTTCTCTTCCAGTTTGTATCTGTAAAGTCCAACACTCAAGAGCTGGATACAACACTCCAAGTCAAATGACATCTGATTACTGCAGAATAAATAAAACTTCAACCTTTTTTTAAAACTTTGAAATTATAATTCTATTTAAGCAGCCTAGAAAGGTAAATTAGTTTTTTCTGTGGCTGCCTTACATGGTCTCCTGTTCAGCTTGTAATTGATTACAATCCCAGGATTCTTTTTTTGCATGTATTTCTTCTAACCCCTCTAAAAACAGAAAGAGCATTTTAAGCTATTTTTAATAGTTTAGAAAATTGGACCAGAATACATTAAGGTTCTTTTGATTTTTATTCCTGTTTTCTAATAGGCATATTGTTATGAAAAGTGGTCATAGAATTATACAATAATGGAATTGGAAGAGGCCTATAAGGCCATTGAGTCCAATTCCCCGCTCAATGGTCCCAGAAAATACCACTTTTTCAAGGGATTTAAAAAAAAAAGCACCACCATCCCCATTATTGCCTGGTACTGAATTACTGCTGAACTGAAAGAAGCAAATCCCTTTCTACCTGCTGGCTCTGCCATAAGAATACGGTACTGTACTACATAAAGCATTTCATTGGAAATGCCTGAGCTGAGAATGTCCTCAGCCACCTTCTTGTTGTCAACCAGGAACATGCACATCACATGATTAGCCCCAGCCAAAGGGAAATGTCTCAGGTCTATCTTCTTGCATTTGCAGCAGCTTCAGCCTATATTTATTCATAATGAAAAACTCAACACAATCATGATATAACTTATGCAATGGGAAGAAGCTCCTAATGAATGGGATTAAGAACTCTGCTGTTGAGCCTGCATGGCTCTTTACATATCAAGCTGCCTAGCTAAACAGATCAGTAATGAAGTGTAAAAAGTGCCCTCGTACAAAGGGTAAAACATGATTTTAATAGTGTTCTACTGCTGGGACAGAGCTGACTAGCATCCAAAGGCTCAAGGAGCTGTACCCCACACATTCTCTGCAAACTATTTTACTGGTGACCCTACTCTTGGAAGCTTAGTTGGTGAATTTGACCTTTAGGATAGAAGATGGCACAAGAGCTCAAAAGAGAATTAACTGCCATAAAGACTGAAGGTCATTCTTGGTTTCGGATGCAAATTTAATGCTGTTGACATTCAGTACAGAAAGATTAGAAGCAAATACAATCTTTATAGAGAGTTATACAGGACAAACTTGTAGTCAGAAGAGTACTCAAAAGAGGAATTGCCTGACTTACAAACCACAAAACCATGTAAACCTAAAACCTACAAGCCTAAAACCATGTATTCAGTTTGGCTGTATTGCTTGGCTAAATTAACACAAGATAGCATGTTATTTTTAAAACTACAGTATTAATTTGTTTTCTGCTTGCCAAAGAGCACAAAATAACCAATAAAATCAAACCATTGTTTTAAAACGGATTAGTTTAAAAATAAGTTGAAAACATTTGCAAAATGGATTCGTTTAAAAATAAGTTGAAAACATTTGCAAAAGCCAAATTTGAAATCAATATTGGGGGGGGGATACCGTTTTGATCAACCTCTAGAAACTCAACAGAGATTGATGTCCGTTCGCAAGGAGCATCTTGGAATTGACTGTCTTCATGACTAAACATAAGGAGCATGCTAGGAAATTAAGTTGTTTTGTCTCAGGGATAGAACATTCCATTCTCACATTGTCCATCCCATCCACTGAGGCTGCTTCCAGGCTAGGCTTCTATTTTGCAACCTGTTTCGTTTACAGACTTTTATGGAATGTCCATACAATAACGTTTCCCATTTCTAACTCTCTCCTGTATTTGTAGCACTCTTGCCCCCACCTTTTAATTTTTTTAACTTAATTTTTTTTTCATCTTTAAAAAAAAACAGTTGAAAAGACAGAAGGATAGCTGTCAAATTCCTTTTCATTTGTAGCATTAGAAACCACATGTCTGGAAACACTCTGACTGTTCTCTTGTTTTCAAGTCTATTTGCACTCTTGACGTAGTCGAGAGATTCTTATTGCATGAAGCTCAGCAGATGCGTGAGACAGCCAGGTCACAGGCAGGAGATGCCAGAGGAAGAGTAGCAGCAAAAAAGGCACTCTTCTTTTCCCCAGGAGAGAATCAGTTATGATAGTCTGGGAGCTTACTGGACCAACACATTAGACTATTCTTCACTTCTGTTAGCTATGTAATTGTATTACAGTGCCACTGCAAAAATGGAGGAAGGGTACAAAATCAGATTTCATTAGCCTAATCTACTTTCGGTTTTAGCTTTTATTCCATTGGCCACCTTGCTCTTTCATTTCTGGAAAAACGACTGTTTCCTAGGTACATAGAATCATGATTCCAAAACCAGCCATTCTACTCTGAGGGGAGGGAGGGATGCAGATCCCCAACGTTGTTGACCCATGTCTTTCAAAACAAAAATCTGCTACCAGAGGATGTGTATGTGGATGGGTTCTCAGTTGGATTTTCATCTGTGAAACTCACTGTATGCTGTATACCTGTTTCCTCTTGCCCCATTTATATTTACACCAGGCTTGCAGAAGTTGTGACCCACTAACCATTGAATATCAAAAATGCTGTTTTTCAAGAAAAGCAAGTCTCTCAAGAGTTTGAGGGGATGTTTATCAGATTTGTTTGGGTTTAATATTATGATCCATACTAAACTTGGGGAAAGACAGGGTAAAACTATTTTGAATGCACAGATTTTTTAAAAAATCTGGGGGGAAAAGCCCTGCCTCTTGTATGTGAAATAAAAGGTTTATTTGTGTTTGCAAATGCACTCGTAGTCCAAGGGGATGCAGTCCCCACTAGTTTTCTGGTCCAATATAGAGTATGAGGGAATAAAAATATCTGTTAAATAGGATTTGTGAGGGAAGGACCATTGCAAGGCATACACAAGGGGGAGTAATTCTGCAAATTCACGGCAGAATGCTAATTGGGAAGCGCTTTGTTACTCTGAAAGGGATGTGGTGGCGCTGCAGGTTAAACTGCAAAAGCCTCTGTACTGCAAGGTCATAAGACCTGCAGATGTAAGATCGAATCCACGTGATGGAGTGAGCTCCCGTTGCTTGTCCCAGCTCCCGCCAACCTAGCAGTTCGAAAACACTAAATGCAAAATGTGAGTAGATATGGTAAATAGGTACCACCACGGTGGGAAGGTAACGACGTTCTGTGTCTAGTTGCACTGACCATGTGACCACGGAAGATTGTCTTCGGACAAACACTAGCTCTATGGGTTGGAAATGGAGATGAGCACCGCCCCATGGAGTTGGACATGACTGCACAAATTGTCAAGGGGAACTTTTACCTTGTTACTCTGAATTCCCTTCAAAGAGCCAGCTGGTCTGTTATCAAATTCAGAAGTGCCCCCTCCTAGTCAGGATTTGTTTGTTTGGTTTGTTCAAAATATTTTTACCCCGCCTTTCTCCTTAAAAAACAGCCCAGGCGGCTTACATCATTAAAAGACAATATTAAATCTAGAAACAGCGAAGATACAAATACTTTTTTTTAAGCAACACCACACTAAAAAACAGTAAACAAAAGCAACACCAAACATACATTTTAAAAAGTAAGGTACAACAACCCATTAAAAAACCCGACTCAAGTGGCCAGTCACTGAGGGAAAGCTTGCCTGAAGAGAAAGGTCTTTGCTTGTTTGTGGAAGGACAGCAAAGATGGGGCCAGCCTGGCCTCCCGTGGGAGGATGATCTGGGCCATATTGCCTCCTGAGTGGGGTGAAGGTTAAGGGAGCTACATTTCCTGCCTATGCCTCTCTCAGTTCACCCCGAGCTGGCAGCTTCACCTGTTACAAAGACTTTGCACGGTTGCAGCTTTAAATAGTCTGCTGCTTACTTCTCCATTCCTTTTTGAGAAAGAGAGTTGGGTTACAGGAGCAGAGATAAATACAGTAGTAAAATGAATGCTGGCTTGTTGTGCAGCTTGACTCTTTCACTTGCCTACTCCACTCTCAGTTTCTCAGGACTCTTTCCGGAAGGTGGTAGGAAAAATGCCGCAGGTGAAAGTTCCAGGTAGGTCTGTGCCCCACAACTTAAACTAATAGTTAAGCAAATGTGGAGCCCTGGAGAGCCAGACAGCCACCCTCTGGATAATGTCACAATGGCCAATAAGCAGCACTGAAGAACAGGGTGCACAAGATTGTCCCTTACTAGGTTTTAAAGGTGACAACAATCCAGAAGGTGTGGGGAGGGGAGAGATAAAATAATGGGCTAGTCAGGCTGGTAGCTTTCTTAAATGAGTGGTTTGGATGGGCTAATCTCCCACTTAATTCAGTTCACTAGAACCTAGCTACCCACCTTGGTGTTAAAAATGGTCAAGTAAAGGTTTCATAGGAGCATGTCCAGGCATTGTTTTTCAGACATAGACTTTACTGAAGGGTTTCCAGAAACTTTTAAAAGTTGATGCAGTTACCATTTGGGAAGCACTATAATGAATCCTTGACTACACTGTTCAGATATGTGTAAAGGTGATATCTAAAGAGGGTTGGAACTCCTCCGCTGTCCTTTATCCAATTGTTAAAGCCCTTAATAACTGACTTGTCCATTTCTATATTGTTGATGCTCCATGGACAGGCTTTCTGTCATCAGGATATATTTTGCCACCTCTCACCCCCAACTTCCAAGAGAATGTTAATAGCGAAATAGTTTCCTTCTGAGTACGATAGTTAAATACAACTCAGTGTACTTATACCAGTGTTTTTGTAAAAGGAGAAGTCTAGGATGTGTTGTTGCTTTGGCTATTCTTGTACACTACGTTTTACTTCCTTCAAGCAAATAAAAAGTACAGTGATGCCTAAACTCTCGGAGTGCAAAGAAAAGCTTCGATAAGCCTGTGTTTTAGAAACAATAAAATGTCAAATCATTCCACCAACTTAAGATAACAATACGCTGAGGTTCAATTCTACAACTGTCTTAAATTTTGTGTAACATAGAGGCCTTTGATATATTACTTTTTTGAATGCCAGCTCCCAAAATGCCTCACCACTAGCCTTGTTGGCTGGGGAATTCTGGAATCCAAAAAAGCACTGATAAGAGACAGTACAAACAACTACTCTGTGGTGCTTCTGATTATGGCAAGAAATAGAAAACACTTCAGATATTCAGAGTAGAAAATCTAGGATACAGTTTTGAAAGAATACATATTTTAAGATGCAAAAAGTTAAACGACTAGCAATGCCTGGAGAGAAATCGCACTGCTAGGACCGAGGTGGTTAAGTAGTTTTTATCTTTACATTTGGGGTGTAACAGTATGGTTGTTTTAAATATAGACACTGGTGAGCCATAATCATGATACTCCAGAGGGAATGGGTAGTAGGGATGGGATTTTTGGAATACAAGAACTCCCAGTCCTATAATTTGATGGGAACTGTCCAGGTTGGATTTTGGGACCTGAGCCCTCAATCTGGTAGGAGATAGAGCAGCCTCCTCACCTCTGTCATTCCAGCACTGCTTCTTCAAGCCATTAGAAAAAGTGTTCTGCATTGTGGGAGTTGCAAAGATTCCTCACAACTCGCAAAAATGTATGGGGAAAATGAGTTCCAATGGAGCTGGCTATATATTAAGTATGGGAATCCTTGAATTCCAAAAATCTCTTCCTTATTGGTTAATCAAGGGATCCTGAACAGACAGGATCTGGAACAGTTATTTGTTGGAGGTACAACTCCAGTGACCATGCCGACTAGGAGATTATAGGAATTTAAATCCAAAATGTGATGTTTAGAAGCTTGAGTAATAGGATGCCATAAGCTGGGGGAAGACTGAAAGTAATGCACATGACAGCATTAAACATCTTTGTTAACTCACCCCAACTTTATCCCCTTGAAGGCAGCCAAGCCCCCGGAGAATGGAGTTTCTTTCCTTGTTAAGGCAGAATGGTAGTTTAGGTTTAACCAATGAAATCAAACAAGTCCTGCTGGCCATCATTTAATCTGCCCATTGGATTATGTTGCCTTAGAGATTTTGTACATTTTGTAATCTTAAGCAAGTCTCCCACTGTCAGATAATGAGATTTTGAAAATTGTTTGGAACTATAACTTCTAGAGAAACAGAGTTCCAGGTTTTTGGGAACCACTGGCAAGCTCCTCCCTAGTGACTCCCACCGACCCACCCTTCCTGGCAATATGCTGCCATCTGTGACACTGGCAACGATGGCTTCTGTTGAAATCTGCCTATGGAAGAAAGGAAGGGTTAGACACAAGCAAAAGCCATGAGTCTTTGTCACTGGTAACTGAGTGGCCAGCAGCACCACCACCACCACCACACAAGAAGAGAGGGCAGGTAGTTCAGGATATAGATGCTGTTCCCACATACTTTGGTAGTTGGATGGTGAGCAGTTTGAAACTGTGACACAAGAAGGAGCAACAAAGTGGGTGAGGGCAGTCCTCAGTTAATTGCTAATACCAAATAGGGCATATAGCACTGGCTGGTCCTCCTTTGTGGCTGAGGGTGGAGTTTGTAAGTGGACCTGTGTTGCCAACAGGTCTCAAGGATGTCAAAGCACTTCTAATCTGAAAGTACTCTTTTTAGGGCCAATGAGACAGGGTACTTCACGATTTGAAGTGGAGGTTACTTAAACAGTAAAGGATATGTGGTTGTTGTGTAATGCCTTTCACAGATTTTTCAAGTTATAAATTAGCTTCCTTTTTTTATTGACAGCAATCAGTGCACTCGGGCATTCTGCTGAAGTTTCATCTCATTCCTGATTTCTCATGATTGCTAAACTCTCTGTTTTGCCTCTGTTGACCTTCACTCCTTGATGCATGAAGACTACTTACTCAAGAGTGAGAGAGAGGCAGGATGCTTTTTTCAGAATATCATCATATCTTAATTTATGTATTCCAGCTCCAATCCTTGTCATTCCAAATAACTCTACCAAATTCTGGCACAAATTAAGCCATATTTCATAAAGAGATACAAGTTTGTCCCAGTAGGGTATTGAGAAGAATTTTCCCTGTTATATCTAAATATGTGGCTGGCTTGCAGATAAGTGCATTACCCGTTTTTTTCCTGCATCCATAAACACAACGCAGTCACAAGAGGAGACCAATCCTGATCTGCAAATCATTACAATGTTCTGATGGCAGTTAGAGTGGAATCCCCTACCAAAGGTATCATTTGTTACATACCGTAAAGTCATATTTGACTTACTGCAACTCTATAAATGATCAATCTCCAAAATGTCCTGCCACAACAGTCCTGCTCAGCTCTTGTAAATACAAGGCTGTGGCTTCCCTTTTGGAGTCAATCTATCCTATATTTGGCCTTCTTTTCCTGCTGCCTTCATTGTTTCCCTGCATTATTGTTTTTTCCAGTGAATCTTGTCTTCTTATGGTGCGTTCAAAGTATGACAATCTCAAGACAGAAGGCTAGCACCCAATCTAACATTTGTTGAATCTTTGTTCACTTGGTTACATGTGTCCATCAATAAGGATTTGCTTAAACTGAGCTTCAGATTCCTGATAAAGCCACATGATACCGTTAGGAACCATAAAAGCAAAACTTAATGACTATTGATACTTTTTGTCCTTGCTTTTCCTGTACTAGATTGTGCAGTATGTCTTGCCTGCTCCTGAAAGAATGCTTGACTCTGTGGTAAGAAAGAAAACCAGCACCTAGTTTTCCTGAACCATCTTCTGCTCTAGTTATTATAATAATATTTCTTTTAGAAAATTACTCCAGGGAGGCAGTGGAAGACAGGGGGGCCTGGCGTGCTCTGGTCTGTGGGGTCACGAAGAGTCAGACACGACTAAAAGGACTAAACAACTAAACAACAACAGAAAATTACCAGTCTGTTCCCTTTCAGTTCTAAGAGTGTCATTAATACATGAAATTCTTCATCTAGTCTAATTTCATTGTTAACAAATAACTTTCCCTTCTCTAAACAACCCATGGAACCATACATATAGGTTTTAGATTATTTACACATGGATTTTTCAGTATTATAATGTTTTTCAGATGCCATTTGGATGCAAATGAATACATAGAAATGGAGTCACATTTCTCATCTCTCAAATGTTCCCAGTTACTATTTCCATAGCACTTACATACATCTGAAGGCAAAAGTCTCTCACAACATGTACAGGAGCCAATGCAGCTTCAAGTGTATGTGCGCAGACTCTGTGTAAACAGTGTTTTTCAACACATGGGGGCTGAGGGCAGGGCAGGGAAGCCTCAGCTCTGTCTTTCCACCCCATACTCAATGTGTATGTGTACAAATGTGTGAAAATGGTTGTTCATGATGAGAATTCCATTGCAACTCTGTGGTAAGAAAGAAAATACTGTGTATCAGACTGGCTGGGCACACTATTCCAAACAAGGTTCTTCTCCTTATCGTTCTTTTACACTGTAAAGCTGTTCATGGACTGTGGAATCTAGAAGCAGACAGCAGGTAAAACTTTGATCAAGTGTTTCATCCTATGATCTGATCACATTTTTATTTATTTTAATCTCAAACAGCAAAGGAGAAACGTGAGTATTATTGGACCTTCTTTACGCTACCTGCTTTTTGTCAAGCAGTTGATCATTGAAATATCCAAAGAACAAATGATCAAAGCAGTCCTGAGACTGTCCATTTCTCAGTAGTCATTGCCTGGAACTATTGATGCCATTTGGGAAGACGGGTCTTGACAGGATGTAACGGCCAGCATGGAGTGTACTGTCCTCAGGAGTTTGGGTGAAATGTTACAAAACCCAGTGGGATTAACACACCACCTGTTTTTTCTTCAAAACAACTTTCTTTGTCTTTCCTTTGTTTTTATAACAGGAATAGTGAACATTTGACTCTCCAGATGTTTTAAACTACAGTTCCCATGATCCCTTTCCACTGATCATACTGTAATGAGATGTTATGGACATTTTAAGCCAAAAACATCTAGGAAGTCAAAAGTTCATCCTTCCTGTTCTATAAATCTGTAAAAAGGGGCTGTCCTATACAGCTCATACTTAACTTCAAGGTGATTGTCAGACAGAGATGAAAGAATCTTGTCATCCTTATTGAATTGTAACTCTGAATTAAAACTAGACTTCTCATGTCTATTAAATTCCTTGTCTTGTGTACTAGATGAAGATAAGTTAAAGGTAAACTTTTTCTGGAAGCTAAATCCCTAATAGCCCTCTTCAAGAAGAAAGATGCATGATTGAAGCTGTGTGATGTTGGGTTCATTCATATCTTGGGTTGATACATTTTATTCTCATCTTCTCTACTCTTGGAGCTCCTGGCAGACTGTTGCATTTGGATGCAACCATGGATATTGGCAAAGGTTGCCTAACTGAGAAATGGCTGTCTTTTGACTCCCGCTAGGTGCGAGCTGAGCATGATCTACTTTGCCCAGCAGCTCCTGTGTGCCAAGGATATTTGTGCTGCTGGGAACAAAGCTGTCTTTCCCTCTCTGAGTTGTGAATCGGTGTCTGATTTGGCTAGACAGACTGAGAGAGAGAGAGAGAGAAAAAGTGAGAGAGAATGCAAAAATGCAAGAGCTGGTTGGTCAGTGCAGGATGATCCCTTTGTGCCCACTCTTCTGATTTGGGGTGGGTATGGATTCCCTTTCCTACTAGCTCCTTCCCCATGCACTTTGTCTCTCTAAGAAGTGGTACTGCATGCACCTGTCACTAGCATGGCCTTAAGCATTCCCATTTGTGGTAATGACATCCTCTGCTTATCCTGCTTATTCCATCTGCACATAAATCTTACTGAACCATATCATATTTACCGTTAAAGCAGTGCTTGTGCACCACAGTTGTCTTCAGATAGCAGATGCCCCATCTGGTTGGTCTTGCCTATCATCTCTTTAGTAGTAATAACAGTAGTAGCAGGAGAAGAGCAGGAGATGTAGATGTAGAAAGCTATGTTTTTGTGGCTATATTTGCAGCCTTTTGTGTGCTCCTAAGCCAGCAATTCTGTGGCTGCTTGAGAGTAAGTCCTAATGGGGATTTGCTTCTGAGTAAGCATGCATAGGATAAGTCTGTTCTGGATGCTGCCTTGACGCAACCCACACAGAAGTGGCTGCTCCAAACTATGCCATATCTTGGTCTTACATGAATGCATACACAGGATAATCCATAATGCTGGACAGAAGTGTATTTTTGAGGATTTCCATGTGAATGTACATAATTATTACTGGCTGCAACAGAGAGCACAATGTAGTAGCCTACATGTCATAAACTGCTCTTTGGAGGTCTGACTCCACAGTTATCTGTGACCACGTGACTTTAACAGATGGAAGGGTGATATTTCACACCCAGGCACTTATCTGCAGACAAAGGAGCTAAGACTACCTTGGCAACGAGGGGTTCCAGTACAGGTAAGACCTATTTGTCTGCATCACCCCGTTTCTCATCACTAAAGTCCAGCCTCTTGTGAAGTTGATATTTAGCTTAGGTCCCTGAGAGGTTGGACACATACCGGTGGTGTCCCGTACAGTTAATCAGTGAGAAAGCCAAACCCATTAGCTTCATTCTCATTCTCATGCCATCTTAAATAATTAGTTAACATTAAGATATGCTTGCTAATCTTCATCTCCATGGATACATCTATTCACTCATTGTTTATCATGTATCCTGCTTCATCCTCCTTTGCTTCAGACCCTACCTTCTTCAGTTAAAATGATCTGGTTGGTGGATGAATCAATGGTATGCTTCCATATATAGCAGCTTCTTCTCTCTGTACTCTGTAGCCCTGTTGCTGCATTCTCTCTCATAAACATCATGTGGTGCAGGTAGGTCTTTAATCTCCTACCACACGTAATAGTGTTTTTAGCTGATAGTTCCCTGCCACATACCCAAAGACTGGAAGGGCCTGAGAGCATACAGGCCTGGCTTACTGAGATGGTTTTGAACAGAGTTTTAAAAATTCCTTACGTTGACTATTACTTTCTCAATTTTTCCATCAGAATGACCACTGGCCATGATGGTTCTAATATTCTAGGAGTTATAGTCCAAATAAAATAAAATTTTCAAGCTCTGCGATGCCCCCCCCCCCGGTCTCTCCACAATAGCATGAGGACTGGCCTAATGACCTAATTTCTTCTTCTAACAGAAGTGGATGAGGCCATGCGCTCCTTCGCAGAGCAGGTTTTTGCCTCAGAGGTAAGGGATGAAGGAGGACGGCATGAAATCTCTCCTTTTGACGTTGAAGACGTCTGCCCCATCTCACACCAAGAAATGAAAGAGCACTTGATTACTGAAGAGACCACAGATGATTCTGAGAAAAAGTAAGAACTATGTATATGTACGTGCATGTACTGGAATCCTTTTAGTGAAAAAAGAGGATCCCTGAAAGACTAGGCAGGCAGCATAACAAGTTGTGTCTCCAAGAGGATTCATATGGAGTACATGCTGAACATATTGCTGAATGCATGCTTCAGATGTACGCTCAGGCAAGTTCACAAAGAATTATGAAAGGCTTGGGTTCTAAGTCAAGAAAAGTTTGCAGCTGCACAATGACTTGTGCACAATGACTTGTTTTTTATTTTATTTTATTTTAGATTAAAAAATTACAATCACAGTTCAATTATTCTCCCATGGAGAAAAGGCACTGCACAGGAATACTTCTATATGACAACTAGGATGAAATATATTCTGATGTAACAACTGGGATGTCATATAGGTACCTTATTACCACAAACAAGCTTCAAATAAATTGTCTTATTTGAATTTTGATTTACAAAAGCTGAGCTTGTTGTGTTTATAGTACCTGAGCACAAGGATTCTGTCCTGATTCCAGTGCATGACTTACAATTTATGTATCTTGCTTCCCCATGGAAGTGTCTTTGAATATATATGAGAAGAGTAGTGAGGAAACCAGAAGAAGTTTCAGATGACATTCAAAAGATACTAGAACTCAGTAAGGAAATAAGGATGATACTTCTGTTCCTTTGCCAGCTCTCTAAGATCTTGATATAACATTTGACAATTTATGCTGAATTTAATTATAGCCAGAGCCAAGAAATACTTGCCATGGGAAATACATCTTCAATACAATTATTAAACTGTATGATACAGTACAGATTGTTCCTGCCACACCATGGATCAAACTGTGCAAAATACAGGAAACACAGAAATTTTGCAGCTTCCCTCTTAATCTCATTCATTCTAGGAAGAAGAGAAGCTTGAAGCTGAAGACCATTGCATTGGTGGTTCCTCTTGTAGGAAAGTCTTCAACCAAACTGTCCACCTTAGATGAGGTCATTTCTACGAGCACTCAGTATCAAGCGGTGCCCAAATTCCAACGTGTGCAGATCACAGGGGACTATGCGGCAGGGGTCAGTAACCGGAGGAGCCATAATCTTTTATCAGGGCATGTTCTTCTCACTAGCCCACCCAGATGACTGAGACATGGTGCTCACACCTAGTTTCTTTGCTGCGATGGTAATGTAATGTCCTTTTTGTGCTTGGGAGAATCCGTGTATTCCTGCACCATGAAACATAAATTGTGGAGGGGAGGGTTTTGAAAGTAAAAGATTTGTAAACAAGCTAAAATCCTGAAGCAAAAGTTCTACGAAACAGCAAAAGAGTTACTGCAGAGTAGATGTTAGCAGAAGAATGGTCATGTTTCTGCTTAACAGGAGCTATGTAATAGAGAACCTCACAGTTCCCAATGAATTTCATGAGGTTCTGGGAGTTATAATGCAGAAATGTAAAAATTTTTGTGGTCTAATAATCCAGAACCCATAACACCCCTGCAAGAACAGGGTTCCAGAAGAGTAGTGCAAGTTGCTTCACTTGTCTGTAATTACAGCACAACTAATATTTTCTAGGTAACTGTTCCCTGAGAGAGAAAATAGCTTTGTTCCATGTACAAAACGCTGTTCACAGAGCATTTGGAAACTATAATCACACACACACAAATACTGAGAATCTGTGATGTGTGGATTATGCAAAACAAATAGGATCGGAAAGCATAGGTCCTGGACTGAAAGCCTGAATGTGGAATAAGCCTCGGCAAAATATGACTACATTTGACAAGGGCTGGACTCGGTGATCCATAGAATCCCCTCTAGTTCTGCAGTTCTAAGAGTATGATGATGATTCCAGCCTCTGTGCAACATTTTGAGCTACAGACTAGAGAGAAGATGTACAAATGGTTTCTTATGACTCACCCTGGCTGTACTGGTTAATAGGTTACTGTGGCTATATTTTAGGTAACCTAACATAAACTCCAAAAGAAATAAATCAAAGCTGGGAGATGTTTTTGCTGGGTGAAGACATATTGGTGAAATTGAAGTGGGACTGTTTTGGTGCTCAAAATAGCTTCAGCATTTGGGTCTCCTGTCGTGGCCCCTGATCGCCTTTCACTAGCAGCCTCAGGCAATGCAATCATTGGGAGAAAGAGATGACTGCTGGGGAAATATACTGCTCTACCCATCATCTCCATTTGAGCAGTCTTGCTTCCCCAAGACTCCATTCCAGGAATGGCTGCAGATTTTAATATTCCTTTAGGAAAGTCCCCCATGCCATCTGGATAAGGTTGCCTCCTACAAAGTTTAGAAGCAGGTCCTTACTGGGTAGAATTGCAGAATGGTTGGCACCTTACTTCCTTCTGAAGTTGCAGCTGTAAAATTCCTGCAACTCTGCCAGGAGTCATTTTAACCATTTTATTTCAGTCACCAATGTGTATGCAAAATGACAACTTTATTCATCAAACGATCATTTTGCTCTTAATTGCCAGCCCTATCACCAAATCTAGGACCTGAAAGTCAAATCCCAAATTCTATCACATTTTGTGATTACAGCAATCAACTGCATGATTCCAGAGTGACTTGAGAAGCATTCACCCGTTTTGTTTTCCCAGCAGTTTTCGAGATGTAGTCTCAATGCTTTGAGTGTTGGTGGGGAATGACAGATGTCTGCAGAATTGCATCTACCAGAACTCAGTACTGTACTCCTGGATGAAGTCAAACAGGCTGTCAATGCATTAGACCCTACCAGAGAACAGGGTCTCTAATATTTGCTGATGCTGTCCCTACTCCATCCTCATTTCTATCAATACTCAACGCCCGCCCCCCCTAAACCAGACAAGCTATAATAGCACATTGCATAAAGATTTCATGTTACCCTTTGGGAGTTTTTGCCACATACATTTTTACACCTTCCTTACCAGTGCTAGAAAGTTAGTGATTTTAACAAATGCTTCTACAGGTGACAGTGGAGGACTTTGAACTGGTCTGCAAAGGACTGTACCGTGCTCTATGTATCAGAGAGAAGTATATGCAGAAGTCCTTCCAGCGTTTTCCTAAGACCCCTTCCCAGTTCCTACGTACCATTGAGAATGAGATGTGGAAGCCCAATGATGAACTGTTGCCAGGTAACTATATAGACTCTCTGTGAAGGCTGAACTGAGTGGCAGCAGCCCCTGAAGAATGGCTCTGGAAGCCAAACTTGTCCTTTCTGTGGGGTCTCTCAAAACAAACTACCAGGTGTTTGGGGAACTAAGGAAATTCTGTGGGTGTGATCACTACTTTAACCTAATAAAAACTTATCTGTGCAGAAAATGAGTGACAATGACTTCCATCACTTTCAAGTGTGAGGCAGTGAGAAGCCCTTTCTGCTAGGGCCTTTTGGAGCTAGACCGAGCAGAGGAACCTTCCAAATAGTGTTGTATAGGTTTGACTCCACACTCAATCTGTACTCACACTTTTATCTGAGCAGATACCAATTCTAGTATTAAACACAGGGGCTAAAATCTTATTGCTTAACATCATTGGGGATTTGGTGAGTCAACTTCTCTATCGCTTCCATTGATTCAAATAGATCTATTTTATTTGCGATAGTAAGTTGCAATTGACTTCCATTGATTCAAATAGATCTACTGTATTTTATTTGCGATAGTAAGTTGCAATTGGATAGGGCATTTGAATCAAGGGAATGTATGGAGGAGTTGACTCACCAAATCTTCACTGTTTCAATGGACCTATTCCATCAAAACTTGCTACACTAAGCAGCAGGACTTCATCCAGCATCACCTGCCAGTGTATACTTGGATTTACTATCCACAGGCAAATGGTTAAAGAATTTGTGTGGCATGCTTTCTTGACTCTCTCTTCCTTGTGCTGAACCATTTCTCCATGTTTTTCAACAGTACAAAATGCATCCTGCTCTAAACAAAATGCCTGTGCTTCTACCACAAAGGTTCAAGTTTCCTCATCAAAGACAGCAAATGTAGTTACAGCTTCTCCATGTCCATTGAGCCCTGGATTTTCTACTCTAGTTGGCAGTGGCTCTCCAAGGTCTTAGGCACAGGCCTTCCACATGCAATCTAGTTGATTCTTTTTTAATTGGAAAAAGGTTTAGGACTGAACCAGCAACCTCCTGTGGGTAATCTGCCACTTTTCTACACTCCCTGTCCAATTCAAATGTGTTATATTGTCCATCATTGACTCTGGGTACTGGGTTCTTTTAATTATGATTCACAGACATTTTCAGAGGCTGATGCTAAGAAATAGGCTGGCATAAGAAAATGATAAACAATTATTATACTTTTATAGTATCTTAGGGTCAGACTAGATGATAGGAAAAATACATATTCCCCATAATTAGCCCCCTTTGGGTTTCCAAGAGTGATTTTTTTTAGAACTAAGTGACTTGATCATCAAACTAGCAAATTAACCTTGTGTTTACTTTTGAATGATCAGTCACCAAAAAATGAAATTCATTGGTGTTTGTTGCAAGCGCGCTGAAGCCCCTATTATCTCAGGCCTTCAGGAGGTGCTCACTCTTCTTCACAGACTGACAGATCTCTCCCCATACTCCATACACTCCCCTTTATATCCCAGCCCCTCCCCCTTTAGCACAACCTTCCATTCCCTCATTCGCTCCTTTTCCACTGCTCAGCTGTGACGGACAGGTGAGGGCAGGGCTGAAATTCATTGGGGCTCTTTTAGAATGCAAGATATGGAGATGAAGGAAAGCGCATGTAATGACTAACAAATGTCTTTTGCCATTCAAAGAGTGTTATGATTAAACAATAAGCAGAAAAAGAAGCATAAACATTGCTTTATATTGTACCAGATTTGTCAGAGATGTAAAAAGTTACTTTTTAGACTACAATTCCCCAGCATTCCACATGGAACTTTAGTGTAGAAGAGAGCTTTCCCAATCTCTGTTTGTCCATCTAGCCTTGAATTGCTGTTCTGAATAGCAGTGGCACTCGCTGGCTGTCTTCCCAAGCTTCTGGTGACTGATCCATTTAATTCGAGATGCCAGGGATTCAAGCTAGTCTGCATTTCAGTGAGATCTTAATCCTCTAGGTTAGATGTTTTCATAACTGTATGTACTGCCACACCCATATGTCCTTAGACATAGTTACCATGAATTCCATATGAGTGAAATTTCATTGCCAGTTGCAAGTTCATTATAACTAGAACTTGGGTTTATTTAAGTCAGGGTATGGGGTAGAAAGACAGCAGAGCTGCTTCTCTCTACCCAGCCTTTCTGTCTCATGGGGGGCTAAAGTTCCTATTAACACCCCCACTCTGACAATGTTCATTCTACTTGTCTCCCAGTTAGCTCCACTGAAGTTGACCCATTCTAAGTCCCAGATAGGCATACTGGTGCTAACATAGTCCCAGTTTCTCCGGCTCTCTCCATGGATGTTTTGTATTGCTGGCTGGTGGGTACCTTCTGTAGCTCCCTAGTTCCTCCTGGAGCTACTGCCATCTTTCTTCCTGGCATTTGTGCCTCCAGTACCACTGCTGTGTTGGGATTGCAGCTGTCAGTGCTGACAGGCACTGAGACACCAGGGAAAGTGATCTGGGGAGGGGATGTACAAGGGCTGAGGATGGGCCACTCTCTACCCCAGCTGCATTCCTTCACCACTGCTGCCTTGACCAGGACACCTCTCCAGGGGTCTTCCTCCAGGTGGTATTACATGTCATCTGCTATGCAAAGACTGAGTCTCAGGGCTCCAATGTTTCTCTCCAGATTTCTTTCTTGCTGGTGATGTCCTCACTGGTGCTCATTCCACCAGATGCTGCCATCACCTTCTCTTTTGTCTCAGTAACCTTCTGTTTCTCCCTCTTCATCCCAGTGTGTGACTGGCTCCCTTCCACCCCACCTCTTCTCCCAGCTGTTATTCATCACTGGGCCCTATGGTTGAAGCCTGCCTTCCCTCCTCTATGCCTTTTGGAGGCCCAGGAGTTGAACTTCCCCCAACAGGTCCTCCACAGGGCTGTGAGGCAAGGGCAAACGGCCACCAAGGGCACTGGTCTTCTCCCTTCTGTATTACTATAATGTAATTGGGTTACATTATGAGAATGAGGCAGAACTTCCAAATTTCTAGGATATATTTTATTATGAAGCAATTCACTTCACACAACAAAAAATATGTATGTGTGTAAATAGGACATACTTAGTGGATACTAAGAATAGAATGTATTACAAATAGCAGCATCCAGTTAAGATATGTTCAGATACAAAGATATATAGTCAGTAGGCAAAGTTATCAAGCTCAAAAACAAAAGTAAGCACAAGTACTTTTGTTAAAGCAACCATATGTGGTAGAATTGGTAATCATGGAGGTGGTTATATTCACTCTGGAGATTTCAGCCAGTCTCCTTCCTAAAGTCATGTGGTTTTCTAGCCATTTCTGAGAAGTGTAGAATTTCAGGCTCATGAACTGTCAAGGTGCAACAAAATCATATTTTAGAGACTATGCATGTTTTCCTTCCTTAGCTCACCACTTAAGTGCTCATTTTCTTCATTTTAGTCTTCACTCAACCTGTGAAGAAAGATGAAGATCCTTTCCAATCTGACAATCTCCCTGAGAATTTGGGCTACCATACAGAAATGAAAGATGGTGTGGTATACATCTATGCTGACAAAGCAGCAGCTGCCAGAGGTGAGCCCAAGGACTTGCCTTACCCTGACCTGGAGGTCTTTGTTGATGACATGAACTTCCTGCTGGCCCTTATAGCTCAGGGGCCTGTGTAAGTATCCTAGAGTGCCTTACTTGTGATATAGTCCATCTACACAGAAACCAGGTCAATTGGGCATCTAACCTGTGATTTAAATAATTTTAAATTTAAAAACAATTGCTGGATAGCTGTTTTAGATATCAGGCTGCAGAGTCAGAGGTTGGGAGTTAAAAAACAGACACAAACATTGCTGGATAGCTAAGTGTTTTAGATATCAGGCTGCAGAGTTAGAGGTTGGGAGTTTGATTCCTCACTGTGCCTTCTTGACAGGGGCACAATGAGGAAGGAAGATGCTCCATTTGGTCTATTCCATCTCTGCTGTTCTAAGATTATTACCATTGTGGTCCCTTTATTGATACTCAGAGTCTGCTACCTAAATTGGCAGTTACAGTCAATCTCATGGCAATATCCACCCTACAGAAAAATAGATTGAAGGCTGAGTTGTTCCACGACAACTTGTAAAACGTGGTTGCTGTGAATTCTGCTGGCTTCAGTCACCCTGGAATATGACCTTTCTTCTGCTGCCATGTGACACTAGCAAGCATAATTCCACCTGGCAGATGTTGGTTGCAAGTGTTTTTGGTGTTTGTGAACTTGTGCTTTATTTCTTATTCAGTGAAAAGTTTATTTGAGACCAAGTTCTTTCCTTTGACTGTTGCAGTAAAACCTATTCGCATCGACGCCTTAAATTCCTCTCCTCCAAGTTCAGTGTTCATGAGATGCTAAATGAAATGGAAGAAATGAAAGAGCTGAAGAAGAACCCCCATCGAGACTTCTACAATTGTCGGAAGGTGAGAGAGACATTAGGGTAGAAGACATAGTCATATCCTGTCATGTGGGTAAGTTTGTTTATTTTTCTTAAACTGTCGTCCTATGATAGAAAGATCTCAGGGTGGCTTATCTCCAGTTTCAGTGAATGTCAGGAAAGGAGAATAGACTACATATCACTTAAAGAAGGAAGAACAAATTTGATGAATCAGGGCAGAGGCTTCTCCAACTATAAGTGTAGGTGACCATGGAACAAAGGAAGGCAATTAGCTTTAGAGAAAAATCAAAGACATCAGCCAGAGATGTCTGAACCAGCATGTCTGGACCAGTGGAGCCTCAAGCAATGCCTTGAGAACTTTTTTTATTAACTTAGCAGGATTACACAGAATGTTGTGAGAATTCAGATAGGATACTAGTTACCTAATTGCCACTAGGATTGACCAGAGAACCCTTTGATCTTATGATCTATCTCTAAGGGAAAAGGCAGAATGAGAGGTCACCCCACCCACTAGGAGCTGCTGCTTCTCTGCCAGGAGTGTTTGCACTCACTGTAACAGATAACAATTAACAGCCTTGGGCAGGATTTTCCCACATATAAGCATTGTTAAAAGTATCAGAGGTACATTCACAGGAATATTTTTATGCTGCACAATAATTGATGTTTAGTGTATCTCTCAAGAACTTGACACTAAATCTAATACTTTAAGTGGCGACTTTTACCATGTGGTCAATACTGTTATGCCATTACCTAAACACAACAATTTATACAGATTGTTACATATCCACCAAAACACCTCCAGCTATTTTCCACTTTTCAGGGCACAGAGAATGTGTGCCTTTGAATATTGTTGGATTCCAGTCTCTGTTAGCTTGGACAATGCTGAGGAATAAAAAGAGCAATGGTTGATCAACATCTTGAAGATCCACAGCCCTTCTACTCTGTTCCAATCTATTATTTGATATGGGTTTTAGAAAATAGATCAGATACAACCTTTTTAGACTGAATGAATTAGACTGTTAATGTACTGAACCAGGTAGCACCCACACAGTCAGGTAGCGAATTCTCCTACTTGAAATCTCTAATCTTGATCACGTAATTCCATTGATGCTTTTTAAAATAAATATATTTATTTATTTCCCACCTTTCCACTACAAAGTATTGCTCAAGTTGGCTTATAAATTCCATAAAGCAATAAGAGAAGTAAAATAAATTTAGCTGTACAATAATTAAAATCAAATAAAAAACAGTCTACCATAAAAGCTATTAAAAGCTATAAAAATCAATTAAGTGATTAACAATTCTTTTATAGTTAAAAAGAACACAGTTGATTAAACGTTATATTCCCATTTTGAAAGATACATTTTGTACCCTTCCTAAAAGCAGGAAGAGAAGAAACTGGTCATAACAATTCTAAAGGAAATGCATTGTGCAGCCATGAAGAATATATAACATGCTTCATTCTCTTGGTTGTTTACAAAATTCCTAGTTCTTCTTTTCTTCTAAATAAAAAGTAGATTGCGTCATGCTAGGTATACGTGGCTCATGGTTCTCATGGTTCTCTGAGTAGCACAACTATATTTTCTAGGACAGAAATCAATGTATAATTCCTCTGTGCCTTCCTAGTAGAACTGCTCCAATGAGTTTTCGGGGATAGAGTTGTCTGAAATATTTATCACAATCTGGGCTGACTACTGCCTTCTCTTACAGATAGACACACATATCCATGCTGCAGCATGTATGAATCAGAAGCACTTGCTACGATTCATTAAGAAGTCCTATCGTATTGATGCTGAAAGAGTGGTGTACAAATCCAAAGACAAGTCATTGACACTCAAGCAATTGTTTAAGGAGCTCAAACTTGACCCATATGACCTGACCGTGGACTCGCTTGATGTACACGCAGTAAGTCCCCCTTTTCCATCCCACTGTGAGAGACCTGATTAATGTCTCTATCAGTTTCTGTATTCAACAAGTGTTCTTTGCTGCGTGTGTTGGTTAACGAGAACTACTCCATGCCACAGGGTCGCCAGACTTTTCAGCGCTTTGACAAATTCAATGCCAAGTATAACCCAGTAGGGGCCAGTGAGCTGCGTGATCTCTACCTCAAGACTGAAAATGCCATCAATGGTGACTACTTTGCTACCATCATCAAGGTTAGATAATATGGTATGCAATTATTTGTGTCTGAGTGGCTGGTAATTTGAGGATGAGGCCAGCTTCTGATAGCAGAGCATCATACACAGATTGTTTCTTTCCCCTCTGATTTCTTCTAGGAGGTTGGCTCTGACCTGGAGGATGCCAAATACCAGTATGCAGAGCCACGACTCTCTATCTATGGCCGTTCACCAGAAGAATGGCCCAAATTAGCCAACTGGTTCAACCACCACCGTGTTTATTCACCCCATATGAAGTGGATGATCCAGGTGCCCAGAATCTAGTAAGTACAATGGGGTGCGTGGATGGGTAGTCATGACATGGCATTTATTACATAGTGAATGGAAATATGACTATGGGCCTGTCCAGACTGGAAGAGGATAAAAATAAAATTAAAATTAAAAATGCATACATTGCTGCTGGGACAGAAAGGTATGCAACACCTCTTAAAGAGGAAGGATGCCTTGATCTAAATATAATCACAAGTGGGCATAGAGTTGTTTTTTCAAGCCAAACCATGCCCTCAGTGATCCATAGACCATATCTATATGGTAGTATAGTATGTCAACACTGGCTAAATTTCAGTAGTTTTGACTTACAATTGAAATTCAGAGACAGGTTCAAACAAATTCACAAAGCAGCATATAAAGAATTTAAAGGTACACATGAAATAATTATATACATGTGATACATTTTATACATGTGATATGTAGAATGAATTCTATGCATCACTTGAGTAAAAGCTAATTGCCCAGTGTTACTTCCTTGCACTGTCTTATAATAAAGAAACAGGGCAAGATTACGCAGATGAAAGAACAAGCTTATATACATATGAGAGACTATGTTGACCAATCTAAATAGCATTTCCTGATACTGAGGAGCCTAACGCTGAGGCAGGCTGGAAGGAAAAAACAAGAAACCGGGCCTTCTCGGCAGTGGCTCCTCGCCTTTGGAATATCCTCCCTTCTGAGATTCGTATGGCCCCTTCACTGGGCATTTTCAAAGGCCAAATGAAAACCAGGCTATTTTGGCAAGCCTTCCCTCCAGCCACCTCTTGATTTATTTTGTTTTCTCATCTTGAGTCCTTGTCTACTGATGTATTATTTGTTTCATATTTTAATTGGTTTATTTTATATGTTGTTAGCTGCCCAGAGTAGTCAGTTGACTAAATGGGTGGGGTACAAATTCAAGAAATAAATAAATAAATACTGTACATGGAGACAAGACAGTCCATTTAGCAGAATTACAGACAGCTTCAGCTTAGCAACTTTTTGCAACAAAGCCTGAGGAAATGGACTGCAGCTGATGGGTTCCTTCATCTAGTTTCCTCCTTCTAAGCAACACCCTGCTGCCTCAGAATAGAGCTGATGGCCAATTCCTTTTCTTCTTCTAGTTGCATTGATAATGAACAGCCATCAGGCACAGTGAAAGACATAGCACTTGAGTCCTAAAGGGGGAATGTCCACTTGAGCTGATTTCCAGAGATTCAGTTAATTTCCTCAGCTAGTAAGGCAGCACCTTTGGACTCAGACAGCTCCGTCTTCTCTGCCTCTAAGATGGGGCCATGATATTGGCTTGATTCCTAATGGCTTCCTTTGATTTCTATATTGTAAAGTAAATAGGGAGCAAACAGGATGAGGTAAAATCCCATTTGTACATATATTGAGTGGGATAAACATCCATCTTGCCCATACAGTACATTGGGTTCATCCTATGCTTCTTCTTGGCCATGTTCCCAGTTATAGTTTTGTTTTCTCCCAAATATTCCACATCAGTGATATGAAAATTGATCTGAGCTCTCTTTCCTGCCTCCTCTCCAGTGATGTTTTCCGGATGAAGAATTTTCTGCCACACTTTGGGAAAATGCTGGAGAACATCTTTATGCCTATATTTCAGGCCACAATCAATCCACAGGACAATAAGGAGCTCAGTGTTTTTCTACGCCATGTGAGTAGTACTTGTTATGCTGACTTGGTTTTCTGGGAGTTGTTTCTAAAATTACTTTTCCCACCTCTTGAGACTTATTCCTAGCACCAACACTGAATTGAACTCACAGGTTTCTTTTTCTTCCACATCGACACCCACTCATTACTCCCCCCCACCAAGCTTTCTTAATTTTTGTTGTCTTATGTAGGTGAGGAAAAAGCTAGGTTGTTGCTAAAGCTGTTAAGCAAACAGCAAATGCTGATCTACTGCAGATCTCCCAGATATATATCAGTATACTGTATCCCAATCTACCTTGTGGCCACACTTGCTACACCAAAGGCTATGAATTAATGCCAGCCCCCACAAAGCTGCACCTTCATCAAAAGTCATTACTGTGTCCAACGGCTGTGGGATGTGATGCAAACTCTTGGGTGATGGGAGTAAGATATCCTTCATATAGTTGATTGGTGATGATGGGGAATAAATTCTGAGCTTGTGTTTGGGGTGAAACCCTTTCTCAGAATGAACTGTATGATTTGCAGATTACTGGCTTTGACAGTGTGGATGATGAATCTAAGCACAGTGGGCACATGTTCTCCACCAAGAGCCCCAAGCCAAACGAATGGAACCACGAGAAAAATCCATCTTACACATATTATGTGTACTATATGTATGCCAACATCATGGTGCTAAATAATCTTAGACGGTGAGTAACTATCTGGGTAGGAAGGTTACTTTGGGATGGAAGGCTCTGATGCTCAGCTGTCCTGCAGCAGTCTGTGGCAGAAACCACATTATAAGCTTTTTCTGGTTCTAGTTAGATAATCCGGTAAAAACATATTGTATTTCAATAACTTGTTTGCTTCAGTCCTTTGTCTTTCTGAATTCCAGCCCAAGGCTTTCCTGGATTTACAGCATAGAAAAATCACAGAAGAAAGGAATTCATGCAAGGTCAAGACTGCTGTTGTAGAATCTTTAGGAGGAATGGATGTTTAATCCCTCCTTTAGTTTTCTGATCCAAATTGCTCCTCAAATTTATTTTCAAGCCACCTATGGAATTCTAAGTGTGTCTTCCCAAGCATTTGGAATTCTGTGTGGAGAAAAGCAACTTGGAGAGGGTCGTATGGAGTGGAGAAACAGCAGCACAAGGAGTGTTATGATCACCCTTCTGAGATATCCTACACAACCTTCCTCTTATCTTTCCATTTTGATGTTCCATCTCCTGAAATAGTTTTTTTTTTAAGTGTTCGCTGAGATTAATCACACACATAGAACAGCAGTGAGCAACCTGGTGTCTTCTATATGTTTTGACAACTTCCACAAATCCAAACCAGGAAGGGCAAATGTCCAGAGGGCACCAGCTTGACTATTTGTGATGTAACATCTACATCTCACATTTCTCTGTGTTAAATTAGTGTTGAAGCCCTTATATATTTCTTGTTGCTCTTGTGTCAATACCTTTTTTAAAAGGAAGGGAAAGCAGGATAAGGGGATACTTCTAGCCAAGTGTTTTATCATTCAATAGCTGAAATACTTCTGTTCAAGTTTACATGTATACAAGCTGATGACATCATCAATTGTGAACTTTTATCTGAATGTATTTGTTTATTTATTATTTGAATTTATATCTCACACCATCTGGCAACCAGGCCACTCTGGGCAGCTACCAACAATATAAGGTATAATATTAAAAACACAATAAAAATAAATTAATACATAACAAATAGGGAAATTAAAACAGATGGCAATGAAGCTGGTAAAAGGGGTGATGGACAGGATGGTAAAAAGGATGGTAAAAATGGAGGGCAAGATCCTAGTGCTCTGGGAAAGTCTGGTGGAAGAGCCAGGTCTTCAGTGCTCTTTTGAACCCACTCAGCGATGGTGCCAGGTGGATCTCAATAGGCAGGTTGTTCCATAGGTGGGGGGCAACCACTGAGAAGGCCCGGTTTCTTGTTCTTTCCCTCTGGGTCTCCTTCGGAGGTCATGTAAAACTTCTTATTCAACCCTGATAAGGTTCTGAGGTTGCTTAGGGATCCCTTTTGCCCTATGGATGGATGCCTTTGGGAGTCTCTGAATGGTGTGTGTGGGAGGAACTTTCAATTTCTAAAAACTGCCACTGTTAGTCCTACCACTCGGATCAGGAACAATGACAGTGATTTTCTAATTTCCTAAAATTAAAGTTCATATTTTCTTTTCTTTTTTGAATTTCTAAATAACCAATATTAATTAATATATACATCCCAAGGCTTTCAAAGGTTCCCCTTGGCAAATGGGATCCCTAGGGAGCCTTTCAACTAGAGAGGAGAGTGGGAATGTTTAAAGTAGGGATAAAAGTTCTGCCAACTGGATTCTGGCCAGTGGAATTTTACTGACAGGAGGGTATGTTGGGTCATGGATTCTGAAATCTATGTTCATCACATTTATCCCAGTTAAGGGTTAATTCCAGAATGAAACCAAACAATATTTTCCAATCATATCAAATTCATCTGAGTATCAGTCTTTTAACTGTTGCTGTGATTCCAAGCAACATCCAATTCTATAAGGTTTCTTTCTACATTGCTTCCATGTTCCATATGCACAAAAATAAAACCCAAAATATTGAAATCATCCAAAAGTCTTACAACCATGAAAAGCCTTACAACTATGAAAAACTATAGGCACAAATGCTTAAACATGTATGAAAACTAAAGTAAGTTGCAAATAAATGCTTGTCAGGATTGAATCCAAAATCCAGTGAAATATCTTTTACGAGTACAAAAGAACAATTATACTGTTTCAATTACATTCTGAAGTTCCAAGAGTTTATAGCTTTAAAAGGTGCACTTCAATACAGAGAATGCAACTCTTAAAATTGTGAAGTTGTCAAAATGAAAAATCTATGAAAGTAAAATATAGACACACATGAAAATTATTGTCAAAGTTCAACCAGCTAAACTAATTTCAATCTATGAAGGATAATCCATGTTGATTGTTGTTTCTGGGTTCTGGAAATGAAACCTGCTGCTGGGCTGTGTTACATGGTTGTTGTTGATATCTGGTATGTGTGGTGATGTGTGTGATGATGAGTTGAACTCGTGTGTGTGTGTGTGTGTGTGTGATCTTTCTATATTTATAGTTCTTTTAGTTGTTTTCCTTTCCCTTCCAACTATAAACAATCGTTTCTCCCTGGGTGTGGAGGACCAAGAAAAAAAAAGGAAACTCTGTTGTCCCTACAGTCTTTTTAACTCCAATGGTCTGTTACTTAGAATCAGGCAAGCTACCACTATTATGAACACATCATTGTTTTGACAAGAGTGTTGCACAGCTTGAAAGAATAAAGACCTGTAGCACAAGACATTTCTTGCACCTGAGTCCTGGAACCTTAGAATCCTGGAACACCAGAATATTGTAACACCAAGGTATTGGAACTACAAAAAGTACTAATTGCTGTATAGTCTCATTAAAGCAAAGTGCAGAAGTGTAGTGAACACTCCTCTTCTACTTGCTAATTTTCTGTGAATATATTCTATTATCTGTATACATCAGCACTATATCAGTTGAGTTCGTGCAAGGGGCAAACTTCCAGCACTATTATCAGTTGAGTTCGTGCAAGGGGCAAACTTCCTATGACCATCTGATGGGCTTCTTTCCTTTAAAAAAATTAGCTATATAAAAGCTGTTTTGTCATCCTCAGTGAGCGTGGCATGAACACCTTCCTCTTCCGTCCTCACTGTGGAGAAGCTGGTGCTATCACGCATCTGCTGGCTGCCTTCATGACTGCAGATAACATCTCACATGGATTGAACCTGAAGAAGGTGAGTTGTAGAATGCATAGGAAAAGTACCTTGTTCTGCATGGGTATGCTGTGTGCTCTTTAGATGCCTATGTTGGTTTTTCCCCCATGTTCATGGTGGCGAATCATGTGGAGAAGGTCAATGATTCTGCTGTAGCCCTCATCAAAGCAGAATTAAGCACTGACCCCACCACCCATGAAATACAGAAAATATTGATTCAGCCAGTCAATTCTGTGGGCCCTAATGATACCAGAGAGCCTCTGAGCTATAGAACATGATGCAGCCTCTTCCATGGGGTGCTTCTATCTCCTTGGTGTTAAGATTCTACCATGGATGTTTGAGTGGGATGATACATGGGAAAGTTAGGACTTTGTATTTGCTGGTGGTATAGAGAAGGTGCCAATAAATGGCATAGGCAGTTAATGGGATCTACTTTAGCACCTGAGCAGAAACATACAACTCTCACTTAGAAAAAATCTGGAAACACATTCTAGCTTTACTTAACTCAGGTCTAATGTTGCTTTCTTTGCAGAGTTCTGTACTGCAGTACCTCTACTATCTAACCCAAATCCCCATTGCCATGTCCCCACTCAGCAACAACAGTCTTTTCCTGGAGTATGCCAAGAACCCACTTCTTGATTTCCACCAGAAGGGACTGATGGTGTCACTGTCTACTGATGACCCAATGCAGTTCCATTACACCAAGGTAGGGTGATGGATCCTTTCCTAGGACAAATGTTTGATCTCAGTAGTTTCTGCTGCTGCTTGAGCAATATGCTGCAGTAATCATCTTTGCATTTCTCAGGAACCTCTTATGGAAGAATATGCCATTGCTGCCCAGGTCTTCAAGCTCAGCACCTGTGACATGTGTGAAATTGCACGAAACAGCGTCTTGCAAAGTGGCCTGTCTCATGAGGTATGATGTTCACCTGGAAACTGTACTGTACTACTGAAACAAGCTGTATAACTTGAAAAGTGTTTGAAAGCAAATGCAGTGGCCAGACTATGGCCTTCATATGCTGAATTAATGCCGTGATTTTCCAGATTATTCCTGAGCTCAGTTCAAGGTAATTCTCTTTACTGCAGAGTCCTAAATAGCATGGGATCAGGATATGTAAAAGATTGCCACCTCACCTATGAGTCTGGCAGACATTTAGGCTCTTCAACAGATTCCCTTAAGACTAGGTTGGTAGGTAGGCTTATTAGACTGCTGAAGAAAAAGACAAGGCGTTTTCTTCAGCAGCACCTTGAATTCTGAACTCTCTCTCAAAAGAAGGCAAGCTAGTTTCTACCCATGTTGGTTTTAGAACATAATGTTGGACCTGTTATTTTGTCAGCTTTGGGGGCTTTCACAATTAGTTTCAGCTTGTTTTTAAAGGTTGTTAACCCACATTTGGGGGAAAAGATAGAATGTAAGTTATTTGGGGCACCCTGGTGGGAAGAAAAATGATGCATAAACACATGAACAGATAATGATAATGACTGACGGCTGTGGAAGTCAGTGGCTGGGAGTATGAGAAGGGCTGAGAATTAGCAAATGGAGAGGAAGAAAATAGGGTATAGAACAGAATACTGCTTCAAAGGAGACATGAAGAGGATGAATGTGCAAAATTATTCACCACCTTCTTTTCCATAGGAAAAACTCCATTTCCTGGGCAAGAATTACCAAGAGGAAGGTCCGCAAGGAAATGACATCCTCAAGACCAATGTGGCTCAGATTCGCATGGCCTACCGCTATGAGACATGGTGCTACGAGTTTGATCTAATAGCAGAAGGGTTGAAATCCACAGAATAAGCAGCTTATGGGACAACTTCTTGCATTAGATCTCTGCCAAAATCCCATAAGAGGGGCAAATAGGATAAACAACACTTAGAGGGGTGGAAAGCTTTTCTTTCAGATTCCCTATATGTGACTTTTTAAAAAGTGCCATGTGTATACTACAGTCTTAGTGCTTTTCAGTTCTACAACCAGGAATTTTACTAACTTCTGAATAAAAAGCTCGTAGCACCTTTCATTAATTTATCAAATATGTATATCTGGAAAGGATTCCAAAGGTCCTTCATCCTATTTCACAGCACTGATGTTAGGAAGGCTTAAACTGGCCAGCAGCAGAAGTACTACAGTGTTCAAGTCTTTATAAAACTACTCCTGAATGTGGGATAAATTCAGTACCATCAAGCACAGCTTCAAGGCATTATACTAATAGTCCTTGGAGGACAAGGATGTCACAAAATCCACAACAAAGCAAAGCTGTAGTCTAATAAGCCTATGGTTTAGAAGCTATTAAAGGCTGGCTATTAACGCCTAGAGGATCCGTATTTTCCTAGGACTTTGGGCTTTTAATATACTCCTTTGAACAAGAGTGCAGACATTCAGGAAGGAGCTGAATGCTTTGCCCTATGCTTTGAAAGGATGCATAAGAAATCCTTACAAACAAGACAGAAGGAAAAGGAGTCAAAAGGCTTGCCATGTTCTTTGAACTACATTTCTGAGCTTTTAAGAGTCAAAACAAGAGTTTAGAAAAGTTCCTTCATTTGGACAACAATTCTCAGAATCCACAGCTAACATGGCCACTGGAATTCTGGGAGTTGCACCCCTTACAAATGCCTGTGCTAACTTCTGAAGCTGTGCCAGTCTAGCCATGAGATTGACACCAGTTGTGTTATGCCAGTATGAAAATTCAAAAGAATTTAGGTCACTGCTTATATTTATAAAATGTAAGTGATTTCAGGATTGTCAATCACGCTAGAGTTGATCAGATAATATTTATGTGAATCTTCCACAGAAAATAGTTTTAAAAAGGCTTTTGTGCCCTTCTAAAGCTTAGATTCCAACACTCAATGGACATCCAAGTCTTACAGGCCTGTTCAAGAGAGGTGGTCTGCATTACTAGTCATTACCAATATCAGGCGTTTCTAACACTATTTGATCATCTATGACATCTGACTACTGGAATACTAATAACAGTAATGTAGAATTGTACTGAACATAGAGTTGGTTTGAAGGTTATGAAGGGCAATTGCCTTTTCTTCAAGTTGCTGCACTGAGGAATCTGTGAATGAGGCTAAAAAACACCCCAGAAGTGACCATTATGATTATATCCTATGTTATCTCCCATTTGCTTATTAATGTCCTCATGTCCTGGTCTCCATTTTCTTTTTCTAGCTCCTAGATTCAGATTGCACAATCTGGAACTATATTCTTCACAGAATTAACCTTTATCCTTCTTTCCTTTTCCTAAAAGAAAACAAACAAACAAAGAAGCAAACAAAAAAGCAGTAAAATAAAGAGCTCAGCAGCCCCTTTTGTCATGAAACACAACTACTTATACTCCAGAGAAAATAGGAGCCTTCCTCAGACTAAAATATTTTATTTTGTGTGTTCTTTCTCTCTTGCCTTTTTAAAAATGGCTGCCATCTTCTCTAAATGAGCTCCATGTCCACAGGTGCATCTGAAAGGAAGAGGGGAAGGAAGGCACAAAAGCTGTGTCCTGATCCCTAGTGTGGATAGAATCTGTTCAGATGTAAATACAGGAAAAACTCCATGTTTCTTCTAGTACATGAAGTCACCTTTTAATAATGCACCCCCTCCCATACCTTACAGCAGAAACGATACTATTCAGGAACACTATGAGGGACCTGTCTGGAAATTCTCTAATTTGCTACAACATGGATATTTATGGAGCAGACCCCACTCCACTGGACATATGATTTACTATTGTTCTCTCTCTAAGAAATCATACAAATTGCAAGCTTTCATGAAGGAACCCCCTTCCTCTGGCTGAGTACAATCCCTTCAGGGATAATGCTGAAAAACTGTATACTACAGTAAAAAAACTGTTTTTCTGCACTGTCTGTGAAGAGTACTTTGTTGTTTCCTTTAATCATGTTACTGCTCACAGTTGGTCTTTAAAGTACTACAAACATATTTTCCCTTTTTCTTTTATTTTGTGTTTCTTGTTCAAATGTTTATAGAACCAGACTTGAAAAGAATTGAATACTGAGCACAGGTCATAAGTCATTACAAGGTGTGAAATGCAACCACTCATCACTTTCTTTTAGAGCCTTGCGTAAGACTCTGTATTCTATCTAACTCATATGTCTAAGGAAGTGGACAATGTTCCAGGAAAGCTTACATTAAAATATAGCAGTTAGTCTTTAAAGTGCCACAGTGTCTTTTTTCTTTTTACTTTTGTTTTGCTTTTCTTGTTAAAATGTTTGCACAGACAAATACAGATACAAATTCAAAAACTCTGACATTTCTGTATTCTCGGGGATCACATGGCCTTTTCTGTGTTCTTTCTGGCATTTTATAGTTACACATTGCCACCTACTGACTGTGGTTGCCGTTATTTACACAGGAGACAGATTAGATTAGATTAGATTAGATTAGATTAGATTAGATTAGATTAGATTAGATTAGATTAGATTAGATTAGGCATCCTTCAATCTCGAAAGACTATGGTAACGTGCTCTGTATGGAGGACTTGGAACAACATCTAGGTTAGATTCTGCTGGTGCTGAATGTAACTGTAGCCATAAATGAGCAACTCACAATTATGTAATCAGAAACCAGAAACTGGCAGTAGAAAGCTGCTAATGTGATTAGTAACTTATTAATGTCATTGATCTTTATATTCATTCATTCCAAAAGGAGACATTCTAAACTCTCTCAGTGACTGAAGGCAACAAAGCAGGAAGATTCCAGGCAGACATTTTGACGCATGGAAAGAGAAGCATTTCATCCTCCACCCACAAGAGTTTTGTTTTCAAAGCTTGGCCACGATGAGCTTCCTATGTAATTAAAGAAAATCTTCCCTCTCAAAGTGTAGCCCAAACCAAAAAAGGGAGGAGGGGTAGGAAGAAGGAAGAAAATAAGGGGGGGAGCGCACTGTAGTTAAGAGATTGAAGGCAGAAGGTTCAAAATAGCATTCATTGTGGATTTACAGTGTGTTGAAGGCACAACTAGTAAGCCACATTTTTCACATGTGTTCGGGCAGGCAAACGAACTGACAACTGTCCATACACTCAAATTTTTAAAGAAGTTTTTCAAGCCCGAGATGGGATCAACTGAATGAAAAAGGCAGAAAAAGGAAATTGTCACCAACGTTGAGGAACATCATGTCAAATCCCAGTTCTGTTCATGAGTCAAATGTTATTGTTTGGATAGTTAGGATGCCAGAACTTGGCTAGGTCACTTTATTGGACTAACTCATAGACAGGGTACTTTCTGATCCAATTAAAAAGACAAGATAAAACCATTCTATATTTCTAAACTGTTCTTTAGAAAGGACCAAACAAAGAGATCTGAAGTGAAGGGACACCTCAGAGACAAATGGTTTATTGTGTTTCTCTGCAGGTAAAACCAAAATTCATCTGATACAAGAAGTCTGATGACTGGGTTGTTGTCTAAAAAAAAAAAAGATGGCACATTGTTTCTAATGTACAAAAGCAACAACTTTCCTCAGCCCTGAAATTTAGTTTGTGAAGGAGAACAGCCCTTTCCCAGGGCTGAAACTGCCTACACCTTTACAGGTCTGCTTTTGTGACTCATTGTTTTGCAAAACAACTTGGAGATAAGCCAGGGCCATCATTACTTCAGAGAAATAAGACTCTGCAAACTAGTCACATGCTTTGCATTATGTTGTGACATCTTACATCCTTATTCTAAACAGCCATCCTGGTACCACAACATCCAAGTGTTAAGAACAGCTTGCAGCCATTTGCTTCCAATTGTTTTTCCCATTTGCTGACTCTAGCACAAAGTGAAATAATAATGTATCTCTCTTTACCTAATAGTTCTATTCTGAGTATATGAAAGCATATAAAAGACTTATCAGTCATACAGAACCTGCCTCTCTCACAGGTAAGCAGGCATCCAAGGTTGAAGCACTAGATCCCTACTGGCTGGTGTCTGTAGGTGCCACTGCATCACCTGAGGATGAGTGAGCAGTGGATGAGTTTGCAAAACATGTCACCTATGGGTGTGGAGAAGAGGACTGCAATCTGTATCTGTCAGTGGCAGTGTTGCTTAAACAATTGTAGCTTTGGCAACACATGCAATATGTCCACCTATTGTTATCACTTTTGAAATGCCATAATTATGGAAAATATGGAAATGCCATAGTAATTGCTCCAGTGCATTCTGAATGAGATGATGCTTTAAGTATCTGTAGGATTCATAGATATTTTTCCTCAGACATTGTGATACTGATTGAAAGGCCTAGTTGTTTTTAAAAGGAAAACCTAGAATGCTATTTGCCTGAGCCCCTTCCTTATTTATCTATAGTACCACTGAACTGATTTTGTAAAATACAAATTGTGTTTTGATCCGGAGCCTCCAGAAACCCTTCCAGCAACTTGTGATATTTTAGAGCAAACTCTGCAAACTCAGCCAAAAATATCTGTTTGGGAAATATCTGTTTTAGTTTAACCGTGGTATGACATATGCTGTACATACTTGGTTTGTGGCTGGAAATATCCTGTGTTGTATTCATGAATGCATGTCCAAGAACTGGCATATATAAAAGGACCATCACAGTGTACACCAGGTAGAACATTCATATTGCCACATACCTCAAATACCAACCAGGCTTCTCAGCAGAATCAATTCACACCTTTAGCTGGAAGTCACAAGTGCATGAAAGCCAAATGCAGCACGCAGAGTGTGCATAGTTTAAGAGAGGCAAGGGAAATCCCTAGCTGCAGAAATGGGCGTGATGTAGTACTCTCCATGCTGTGTCAGATTGCAAGCCCCAATATTCCTCGCTCTTGGCTATGGTGGCTAGGGCTCTTGCGGGCTGCTGTTCAACAAAATCTGGAGGGTGTTGTTGGTGAAGAGGAATGGGAAAAAAAGTGAAGAGGAATGGAAAAAAAGAAGATAAAAATGGTGGCACACTCTTTTCTAAGTTGCCCTCCTCCTTTTCCTTTTGCCAGCATGCAAAAAGAGGGTTCGCTCTTTTCCCATTCTTGTTCTTCAGTGCTTTGTATTATTTTGGTGACAGGAAACAGGGCAGTCCAATAATAGGATCTGCAGTGGCCTTGTAAAATCAGTAATAGGGTCCATAAAGGTAAGAGGGCAGGTCCCTCTTCACTCCATTGTAGTTTGATCACTATTATAAAAATGCTGTCTCATGAGAAGACTCCCTGGAAAAGCCCCTGATGTTGGGAAAGTGTGAAGGCAAGAGGAGAAGGGGACGACAGAGGACGAGATGGTTGGACAGTGACATCAAAGCTACCAACATGAATCTGACCAAACTCCGGGAGGCAGTGGAAGACAGGAGGGCCTGGCGTGCTCTTGTCCATGGGGTCACGAAGAGTCGGACTCAACTTAACGACTAAATAACAAATAAAAAATGCTCACATATCAGTATACTCAAAAATATCTAACTGTCTGATAATATCTAGGCCCCTCAGGTTCCATTGGTGCCAATGGAAGTTTTTCCCTGCTGGGCTTTATTGCCATGAACAGCTAAGTGGAAGAGGAGTTGTTTACATTTTGAACCTGGATGTGTAGGCATCCTTCAGTCTCAAGACCAATGGAAGCATTTTCCTGCTGGGCTTTATTGCCATGAACAGCTAAGTGGAATTGTTTACATTTTGAACCTGGATAGGAATAAGGAAACTAAGCAGAGGAAAAATCCACAGATTTCCCTTGAATTAGTGTTCCATTTTTAAAAGTTTCACTTTTCTGCAAAACTACTCATTTTGTGAATGAGAAACAGGAATAGGGTTCATGGGGTAGTCACTCTGTCCCACCCACCCCCTCGCCCCTTGGTTGCATTTTTAGGTACACCATTGACAATTAATTTTCAGTTTTAGAAGAGGTTGCCATCTTAGTCTGTGCAAGCGTATCAGGCAAAATATTAATGTTCAGTTCCTGAGGAACAGCAGATTTGGTGTAATATAGGACAGGACACATATTAAGTAAATAATTTATTTTATTTGAAAAGGTAAGAATGAGACCTTAATGGGTTTGCATGGCTTTATAGGGTTTAACTAAATCTTTCTAAATATTTCCAAATTTGCACGTATAGGTTAGAATTGGAAAATTTCATTGAAACTTGTATTCTATAGGATCAGGACCCTGCAGTTCTCCAACGTGGAATGACCACGGAGCTCGCCCTTTAATCGAGCTGGAACAGTGTACTAAGGACAGTGAAGACTGACAGCGTGAAAACACCCAACCTTTCAACCGAACAGGGTTCAGTAAAGCCCACATTGTACCCCAAAGAGTATGGAAGGCGGAGCTCCACAGAAGCGCGGTGAGGGGTGGAGCTTCACCCCGGAGCGACGGCGGCTCCATCCAATGGGGCCCTGCCCAAGTGTGTCAACTCCGGAGAGCGAGTTTGGTCTGTACTGTACTTGCAAAGTTGCGAGCGAGCTGCAGAAGGAGTCAAGAGTCGAACCGGATCGGGGCGGCGGAGCAGTAATGCAAGCCGGTGAGTAGTGTGTGTGTGTGTGTATGGGGGGGAGAGGGTTTGCACAGCTCGAGGGCTGGGCTGGACTTACGTTGGGTACCTAGGTGGGTTCGGATTCGCCGCTTCTGCCCGGGCAGACTGGTGGGGCATCTGATCCGAGTTGCGGAGTCCGCTTTGGACTCCGATGCCTCACTCGCTTCGGAGACGCTCAGGCCTGAGAAGGCGAGTCCGGAGGGCTGAGGCAGGGCGGAGAAGGGGGGGCCGCCCCCCCCAATTCCTCGCCAGGGCTTTTTTTACGGGGAGAAGCTGCTGCCCGGTAGGGCTGGAGAGCAGGGAGGCTCCCGGTTTTGCTCTGGATTTTTTTGCCCCAGTTGAAAATGTAAGCTTTCAATGAAACTCGAGAAGATGAAGAGCCCTTCCTGTGGGACATGAAGCCATGAAAGTTGCGTGAGCGTGTGCAGAGTGGCTTTCCCAC